CGCTTTATCAACACGCTACCTGTTGCGTGTTGCGTATCGAGGCAGCCAAGGCAGGGCCGCCGCCGCGCGCCCGTGCGCGGCAGCGGGCTTCCCCCCGCCCGCTCCTGCCTGGCGCCCCCTCCCGCCGCAGGACGGCCGGGCGCAGTGCGAGTCCGCTCGCGAGGAGCACGGAGGGGCCGGTGGCGGTGCGTTGCGCAGTGGATTGAGAAACGAACAATGGTGCAAACATGAAATTGCAGAGGTTCGCGCGGATTTCTCGGATCGGCATTGGAACCCCTCCTTTGGCGCGCCAGGGGCGGCGCCGGAGGCGCCGCCAGGGGGCTCCAGCGCCGATCCGAGAAATCCGCGCGGACCTCCGAGCTTTTACGTTTGTGTCATTACTCGTTCCCCTAATGAAGGGGCGACAAGATCGACTAGACGTAAGAGTGACCGTTCGCCGGAGTGACCTATTCGTGCGGACCCAAAGGGGGTCCCCCCGATCGCCGAACGCGATGCAATAGCAGCGTGTTGCGCGCCTGGGTTTCAACACACGCACACACACACACACACACCAGGGCCCCCCAAAAAACCGCGCACCGAAGGTCACTCTTGCGTGGATCTGGTAAGATGGGTGGGGAGAGACGTGCGATGGGGGGGCGCAGCGGGGGAGAGTCGTGCACCCCTCGTGCACTTCAGGGGCCTCAAAGAGGCACCCTGGGGCCCCGGAGGGGCACGCAAGGGGCAGCGTGTCTTCCCCCCAGGAAGCAGCGCCCAACAGCCCCGAGACGGGCTTGTCATTAGAAGGATGGGGTCCGAGTGGATGGGGGCAAAGGATTGCGCCGCGACGGCGATGCGACTCGATGTGGAGCCCAGATTTCTCCACGCCCACGTCGCCAATGCATCGAATGCACCGACGATGCATCGACGATTCGGCGCGATCCTACGACCCCATCTGCTCCGACCTCATCTGGGAGGCCTATAACACGTGCATGAACATGAATTTGTGGAGCCCCCACGGATTTCTTGGATCTGCGCTGGACCTCCCTGACGGTGCTTCCGGCACCGCCCCTGGCGCGTCGCTCCGCGCGCCAGTGGGGGGAAGCCAGCGCCGACCCAAGAAGTTAGCGCGGACCTCCACAAGGTTATGTTTATGCAGCTTTTGTTCCTTGGACATCAGTATTTCCACCAGACTTGCCGCGCTCCTGTGACGGTGCATGCTGGTGCTGTGTCGCGGTCGCCCCCCGAGTTTTCCTCCTTCTTCTCCGACGTTACGCTGCATTTGAGAGCCAAGAGCGAGGGATTCGTCAGGCGGAGCGCGGGGCTTTGGCGAAAAGGGCGGGGTTCTTCTTGCAGGGGCTCCTGGTCATAGGGCACTTCTGTGCAGGTTTTGCTCTTGCCCCGCGCGGCCACACACGCGTGGCCGAGTACGAAAGGCCGACGCTCGCCAGAAGTTATCTCCCGCGGGGCCGCTCGAGAAGCCTGCCAGAAGCCACCGAGCCCTTCTGCTGATCCGCCGGCCTCGAATGATCCGTCTGATGCCCTTCTGTCTGATCAATTTGGCCAGTGAACATCCTCATCGTCATCCGAGGGCTGTGGGCATACCGCCGCACAAGCATGTGCTCGTGCTCCATTCCTCTCGCTTCGCCGCGGGGTGGGCGTCGGGAGCTCGAAAAGTGTGGATGTTGCGACGAAGGCCTTCAGAAGGCGTGTGGGGGGCAGGGCGAGGAGGAGGGAGGAGGAGGAGGGAGGAGGAGGAGGAGGAGGAGGGAGGAGGAGGAGGAGGAGGAGGAGGAGGAGGAGGAGGAGGAGGAGGAGGGGGGGGAGGAGGAGGAGGAGGAGGGAGGAGGAGGAGGAGGAGGAGGAGGAGGAGGAGGAGGAGGAGCAGGAGGAGGAGGCCTTCAGGATGCGGAGAAGGCCTTCAGGAGGTTTCTCGGGGTCTGTTGCGGCGTGCCTTCGGGGCCTCTTGGAGACCTCGGGTTGGCCCCGTGCGGGCCTCTTGAGGTCTCGTCGGGGCCTCTCGGGGACCTCTGAAGGGCATCTTGGTCGCTTATTGGGGGGCTTGGGGCCATCTTGGGGGAGGGCTCTGGCCCCCTTGACCGTCCCTTTTCGGGCCACTCCCTGGGCATTCTTGGGGCATTCCGGGTGGTTGTGGGGCCCTCTTCGGCGCTCTGGGGGCCCTCTTGGAGACTTATTGGCTGCCCTTGGCTGGTGTAGGATTGGGAGCGAGCACATCATTTCTTTGAGAGACAGTTCTGATTTACGCATGTGCAATATTACTTTCCTGCGTTCGACGCTTTTCATTACCGTCACGAGTGATCCGCTGCGCTTTCAGCAGGGCCGCGTTCTGGCTCGCACAGCAGCGGCTCGTCTCGTCTGGTTTTGGATTGTCCGGTTTGGGCAGCCTCTTGGGCCGTGCTGGGCTCTCAGAAGCTTGAGGAGGCCAGAACGTCAAAGTCATGAAACAGCTGATGGGAAATCCATGATTTCCGCCTCTTGATAACCTCTTGGAGGAACCCCCTTCGAGCGCCTTGGGTGCCTTTTTGGTTGTTTCGAGGCCGTCTTGAGAAGTCTCGGAGCCCTCTTTGGCCTCCCTGGAGAGAGCTCGCCCCGAGGGCTCGCGCAAACCGGGTGGTCCCCTTTAGCTACCCTCCCCTCGAGCCTCCTCGTTACAATGCCCCCTCCCCCTCGCCGTCCTTTCTCCACTGGCCCCCGGAAGCTCCTTCCCCGGAGCCTTTGGTCACCATGTTTCCGACTCCAGCACCCGCTTGCATCTCTCCGACTCCAGCTCCCATCTCTCCAGTTCCGACCCTCATTTCTCCGGCTCAGGGATCCTTTTCGACCCTCCAGCTTCGGTGTTTATGTTCCCGACTCTGGCATCCGTTCTTGCCTCTCGGGCTTTCGTCCCCGACGTTTCGGCTCCCATCTCTACTTCTCCAGCTCCTGTGCCCATCCTGATGTCTCCGACTTCTGCTCCCGACCATCTCCGACCACTTGCGTAGATATTAGTTTTAAGGTCCTCCTTGGTACCCACCTAACGGATCGACTCTAGTTCGACTCTAGCTCGACTCAAAATTCGACTCAAGTCCACGGACGTTCGACGCAGCATCGATGCGTGAGCTGAGTGGAGCGAGTGGCTCCAGGAAGGTCTCCAGAACATTTATCAGCGGGCGGATAGCGCAACATTATTGTTTCCGCGATCGAGGGTGCCAGCCCCATAGCAGCTAGAAGGTCCACCCCCCCGCCTGCCATCGTAGGGGCACAAACTTCCCAGCAGCCGTTGGACAAGCGCCTCCGATGGCGGAAAGAGCATGCTTCATAATGCTCTTCGCCCGCAGAATCTACCCTCCTCCACGCCCCGACTGAGCGAGATTTTGTTGTGTCACCCCCCACACCGACCGCCTGGTGACCACCCGTTGCACCCGCGCGGTCAGTTCAGGTGCCCCTCCGCGTGGGATTGCTTGTTTGTCTGCATGCCGGCTGAGCGGTCGGAAGCCGCCAGTCTTGAAGAAAATACCACCTCAACATTGATGTTCGGAGCGCCACGCGGATTTGTCTGATCGACGCTCGGGCCCCCTTGGCGGCGCTCGAAGCGCCGCCGCCTGCGTTCGAAGGAGGAGAACAGGGGGAGGATCGAAAAAAACGGCGTCTGCATAAATTCTCGGGTGTCCGCGCGGATTTCTTCCGGCGCTGAACCCCCTTGGCGGCGCCTCCAGCGCCGCCCTTGCGCGCGAAGCGCGCCAGGAAGGGAGACATAGTGCCGATCCAAAAAATGTGCGCGCACTTTTTCCTAACAATTGTGTGGTGTTGGGCTGTCATTTTGAAGAGACAGCGCTCCGTGTTCTTCACTCCTCACTCCTGCTCCCCCCTCCTCCCACCCCTGCTCCTGACCTCTGCACGTCCTCATCGACATCACCGTCGTCATCGTCATCATTAGCAGCATCATCATCATCAGCATCATCATCATCGGCATCATCATCGGCATCATCATCGTCATAGTCATCGTCATCGTCACTGGCACCGTCACCGTCACCGTCACCGTCACTGTCACTGTCACTGTCAGCAGCATCGTCATCGTCCGCATCATCGTCATCATCGTCGTCATCAGTATTATTTCCATCACCATCATCATCATCACAGGTTCTGGCTGGAAGGGGGGTTGCGGCACGCTGGCCTTCTTTCGCGTTGGGACTGGCGCTCCGTACGGGACGGAGTGCGACTCGGGCGGCGGCCGATCCTGGCTGCCGTGGGCGATCTTACACTGAGCGCTCCGCGGCGCGGCTGCGGGCAGTGCGGGCCGCCGATGCCGCGGTGGCGAAGTGGGAGAGCAAGTGCGCGGCCAAGTCCCAGCGCTGCCACGCGCAGGGGGCCGTGCTGCACGCGGAGCGGCGGGCGCAGGCAGCGGCTGCTGCCCTGGGCGCCCGCGCGGTGGCCGAGGCGACGGCCACGGCCAGCCTCGGGCAGCCAGTGCTGCCGCCTGTGCCGACCTTCCCGGGCTGCCCAGGGTCGGTCGCATTGGGGATGAGCGAGCGCGTGCCGCTCCGGCCCTCGGCGCAGCCCGTCGTGTCCGACGCGCTCGTCGAGCAGATCGGAGCGCGAAAGGCGGTGCGCGTCGGCGACGGTTCGGACGACGTCGAGGAGGGCGTGGTCGTGGAGCCGCCCGCCGTCGTGGCCGCGGAGCCCGTCGCAGACCTGGGCGACACTGCCGCGGAGATGCTTCTCGCGGCGAGCACTTCGGTGCCGACTGGGGACGAGGCGGAGCTCGTCGCGGAGCCACCCGTCACGGGCGCGGGTGCCCTGGCCGTGAAGCTCGTCGTGGAGGCGCTCGTGTTGACCGTGGCGTTGTTATGGCCGTGGAGCTCGACGTGGATCAGGCCCTGCAGCACGCCCTCGCCGCGGAGCTCTGCGCAGGGCCGCCCGTCATGGCCACGGAAATGGTCGTGGACCTGGCCGTGCAGCCCGATCTGCTCATGGACTTGGCTGCGGAGCTCAGCGCGGAGCTGCCTTTTCATGGAGCTGGAGCTCGTCGTCGGAGCTCGTCATGGAGCTGGAGCCGGCCATGGAGCTGGAGCTCACCGTGGACCTGGCCGTGGAGCTCGTCATCATGGAGCTCGTCGTGACCGTGGTGCCCCTTGCGGAGGCGCCCGCTACGGCTCGTGGAGCTGGTCGTGAAGCTGCTCCTCAGGACGCCCTCCGTGGTCACGGAGGAAGTGAGGCTGCTCTTCAGAATGCCGAGCGTGCGGGCGCTGCTGCTGGCGGACCTGCGGGAAGCGATCGCCGAGTCGGGGGGCCGCGTGCGTCGGCGCGTCGGCAGGCCCACCCCGCCGCGGCCACCGCGACAGCGGCCGAGCAGGGCGGCGAGGCCTCCACCGAGCCGCGCGGTGAAGCGGCTCGAGGACGCGACAGAGAGAGCCGTGCGCCCGCCGCTGGCCGTCGCCGGTGGGGCGCCAACGCCCGAGCGTTGCGAATGCGCTCGTAGCGACCCCGACGGACCCTCAGCCGCCGCGGCGGCCCCCGGTCGCGACGCGGGGCCCGAGGAGACGACCGACGGGCACTTCCGCACGGCCGCACAGGCGTACCCGTCTTTGAGGGCCGTCGCCGAAGACCATCAGGCGGCGCAGGAGGAGAATTGCAAGCAGCAGTAGGGGAGCGGCTGGGCTTGGCTCGAAATTCTTGGCTGGTGGCCCGCGGGGCCCTCGGCGGCTCCCGACTCTAGGGTCTGGGGCTCGTCCGCGCCTGGCCCGTGCGCCTGCTCGATGGTGGTGAGATGCCTGCCATGCCCACAGCTGGCCTCAGACAGCAGGTGACGTAGCGGGTAGGCTGCCCGTCTGATTGGCGGCCCTGCGCGGCTGCCTTCGTGTTGGGGTTTGGGGGCCTTTCTCTCGTCGCCCAGCCCTTGGGCCCGCGGGCCCCGTGCGTGATTTTAGACCTAGCACCGTAGGTGGGCCTGGCCCCCGACTCTTGCAATCTGATTCGATCATCGTCACCATCATCACCATCATCATCATCAGCAGCAGCACCACCACCATCACCATCATCATCATCATCATCATCATCATCATCATCATCATCATCATCATCATCATCATCATTATTATATTGATCACAATCATCATTATCATCATCGTCGTCATCGTCATCGTCATCATCATCGGCATCATGATACTCATCACAATCAGCATCAGCACAGCTATCCGACTTATCATTGGCATCGTCGCCCTCATGCTTGGCATCGTCGCCGTCACCTTCGACAACATCACAATCGCCATCATCAGCATTATCATCATCACCATCATCACCATCAGCACCATCACAATCATCATCATCATCATCATCATCATCATCATCATCATCATCATCATCATCATCATCATCATCATCATCATCGGCCCTCCGCCACCGCGCCCATTTCGGCGCACCCTTCACACGCTGCGTGGCCCGTTAGGAAGCTCCACTTGAGGCCACGGTGGCTGCGTTCGCATGTCTTCTCCACAAATGTTCGACGCACCCCTCAAACGGTTCGTGGTTTGGGCCCCACAGGGAGGCCCCAGTGGTTGCGCTCGCATGCCTTATGCACATGCACCCTTCACACGCTGCGTGGCCCCATAGGGAGCTCCACCTGAGGCCCACGTGGCTGTTATCTGATGCCTTCTCCATGTCGGTTTCGGCACATTCCTCATGCGTCGTGGCCCCACACGTAACTCCACTTGAGGCCCCAGTGGCCGCAGTTGCATGCTTTCTCCACTCCGTTTCGGCGCACCCCTCACACGCTTCGTGGCGGCATAGGGAGCTCCACCTGAGGCCCCAGTGGCCGCAGTTGCACATGTTTTCTCCACACCGTTTCGGCGCACCCCTCACATGCTTCGTGGCCGTACAGGACTCCACCTGGGGCCCCAGCGGCTGCTATCGCATATGTTCTCCATGCAATGTTCGGTACACTCCTCACACGCGTCGTGGCCCCACAAGGAGCTCCACGTGAGGCCCCGCGGACGGGGGTCGCATGCGTTCGCACACCTTTTGCACACGCACTCTTCACACGGTTCGTGGCCCCATAGAGAGTTCCACTTGAAGTTCGTGAGAACTTTTAGGCCGTATTGTGCATGCGGATGCCCGACAAGGCAAGTACGCGAAACCCCGTCCAAAGACCAACGGGGAAACGTGTGGTTTGCATCTCGATGGTCTTTTGGGCATATTATTGGAGCCCTCTCGGCACGTCTTGCAGGGCCCATGTGCCGTCTCGAGGCCGTCTCGGGGCCCTCCTGAATTGTCTTGGGGCTTAGTCGCAGCCTGGGCATGGAGTCGCCTGGAGGAGGAGGATGGAAAGAGTGCCGCAGAGCAAATTCAGAGGGGGTCAATTTCCAAGGACGCATGCTACGATGGGGCGTGGGTCGGCCCTAGAGAACACTGAATTAACCTCACAGTCAACGGAGGAGCACGCAGATCAAGGAACGGTTTTCAGTGCATCCCCGGGGGCCGTTTGTGTTGACGGCTCCGTGGCCCGTGGAGGGCCACCCGATGCCGACATCGGGTAGCCTTTCCCGCCGTGTCTTGGGTCATTTCGCCAGGCGGGGGGGTCTGGGCCCCCTCTTTCCCCATTAAAAGAAGTTAGTCCCCAGGAGTGGGGTGGGAAGCTGTTCGCGGGCGCGGAGCTGGTGGTGTCGTCGCCGATGACCCGAGCGCTGCAGACGGGCTATCCCAGAGGCCTGCGCCAAAGAACGGGCCCCAGGAAGTGGGAGTGGGCGAGGGCGGGGAGGAGGGGGATGGGGAGAGGGAACGGGGGAGGAGGGGGGAGAGGGATGAGGAGGAAAAGTCGCTGAAGAGGAGGGGAGGGAAGAGGATGCGATGGGGCCAGGAGGAGAAGGGGACAGGGGAAAAGGAGGAGAAAGAGGAGAAGGAGGAGGAGGAGGAGGAAGAGGAGGGAAAACAAGGAGGAAGAGTCGCAGGACGATGGTGATGATGGTGATGGTGATGGTGATGATGATGATGATCACGATGGTTGTGGTTTTGGTAGCTGTGGTGGTAGTTTTGGTGATGATGATGACGGTGATGACGATGATGACGATGATGCTGATGCTGATGCTGATGCTGATGCTGATGATGATGATGATGATGATGATGATGATGATGATGATGATGATGATGATGATGATGATGATGATGATGATGATGATGATGATGATGATGATTTGAGCACAGCAGTTTTGATAGTAGAAGGAAGTGATTTGCAGCTCTCTCGGACCGAGCCCGCCCAGCAGTACGCGCCAGGCGCGCCGGCAGTTGATGCGTGGAGGGCTCGTGGCCAGAACACGGGCGGTCCACGAGCTTGCCTTCGGCTTCGAGGCTTATTCAAGGCCCACTTCCAGCGGCGAGGAGGCCGCGCCAGACAGGGCAAAGGACCCAGAGGGGGTCTCCTGGGTCGTCATCCCACACAGCACCCAACGCGGGCCACCCAAAAGGGCGGCAGCTGCCGAACCTGTGCTCTGGGCCGCCCCTGCCATTGGCAGTCACTGCTGCACAATCTGGGCCGGCCCGGGGTGCACAGCGGAAGCGCGGTGGCGTGGCAGGAGATCGTCGCCAGATTCGGAAACGGCAAATTCACTAGGGGCGGGATCGCCTACGTCGGCTCCCGTCGTTGGGCGAAGCAATCGACCGGTTCTTCGACGAGCAGCGGGATTATTCAGATATCGTCAAGGTTTTCGATTGGACCAAGGCGCAATGGCGACGCTGCCAGTTGATGCGTTGCAGCGGACGGGTGACCTCCTACTTCGCTCGCGGCTGCTCGAGCTGCCTATCGCTGTGGCCCGCGCCGCCGGCACGGCAGCGCGGTGCGAGGCCCGCGTCGTCGGCGCCAAGTTCGCGAGGTTCGATGGGCTCGTCGCCGTCGACACCCTGACCGAGGACGACCTCCGCGACCTCGAGCTGGAGGAGCTTCTCATCGCGGTGCCCGCCGTCTTCTTCCTGCACGACACTGGCTCGATTGCCTCCGTAGACACTATGCGTCGGCGACGGCGCGGTCGGCCCTTGGCGAAGACATGCCAGCAGACGTGGCCCGCGCGATATTATCGCCCGCGTTCATGGCGAGACCCACCGAGAGCTGCGCGAAGGAAGAGGCAATCGAGTTCCTCCACTCAGCCGGCAGGCCGCCCAGCCGGAATCTCGCCCCGCATCCCGACGATTGGAACATCGGAGTCCTGCGCCGACCCATCACGCCCCCGACCTCGCGCCCCAGGACAATCCAAGGCGCATCGGCTTCCAGCTCTCCGTCGACGGGCAGATCGATCGACGGGGAGAGGTACCCCACCGACGACGAGCACGGCGGCGTGGGCATGGGACACGACGAGGTCGGCGCAGCCCGCGCAGGAGTGGGCAGGTCGGCCGCGCGGCGCTTACGCGGCGGGCAGCCAGGACGCGGAAGGAGAGGAGCCCCCGGCGGGCCTTGGAGACCCGTGGCCTCGCCCGCCTGGCGCCCCCCTCAACGAGCGGCGCCGCCGCTGGCCGCGCGCGCGGCGAGGCGGGGGCCCACGGCGAGCAGCGCCATGGAAGCCGCAACCCCCCGCCGCGCCACCGCGTCGCACGACGACCTGCAGAGCGCGCTCGAGAGTTTCAAGCACGAGCTGCTGCAAGCCATCGGCGGCCAACTGAGCGTCTTTTCGAGCCGCATCGAGCAGGCCGAGAAGGGAAGCACGGAGGCCCGCGGCCTCGCTGCTGCGGAGGCCCCCCCAGACATCCCAGGGTCACTCTTCCAGTCGGGGCCCTCCTTGAGCGTGCCGGCGCCTGCCCCCTTTGCCCCGAGCCGACCCCCCTTTCCAGAGTTCGCCCAGGGCGGCAGAGAAAGCCCCAGCGACGGCTCGCGAGCTGCTCCAGCGGGACGACGGGCCCCTCCGAGCGAGCAGGTCAGCCGCGCGGCCCCAGGGGGGAGGGCCGACCTCGACCTCTATGCCCTCGTCGAATCGGGCGGCCGCGCCGCGGACAAGGCCACCCAGCTCGCGAAGCCGCAGGCGCTGGAGAAGGTCGGCGGCCCCAAACAGGCGAAGGAGGACGAGCTCACCCTGGACGACCTCCTCTTCGGGGACGCAGCCTCGAGCTCCAGAGAGGCGGGCCTCGCGCCCAGGATCAACGGCACCAGGGGGGCAGCCAGACCCCCATTGCTCAACGGTGCCATCGAGCGCGAACCGCAAGAGCGGTCTGCCCACGTCGAGACCGCGGCCCTCGCTGAGCCAGGCTGCAGCACCACGGGCACACCGTGGAACGCGACGCCCCGCGGCAGGCAGAGAATCAGATTCGGGCGCCTCGAGGACAACGAGCGCTTCTGGGAGATGCTTGCGTCTCTTCACGCGCTGCGCACGTCGCGGCGGCACGACCTCGGCGCCCGGGCCGGCCAGCGTCTGAAGGCCACGCAGCAGACAGAGAATGCGAGCGGCCCTCGGCGGCTGGCCCGGCCGACCACGGAGCTCCCAGACCTTTGGCCCAGAGCGGGCCAGGCAGCAAGAGGCTTCGCGCACCCGCATAGTTCGCAGCCTCGGTCGCTCATTTGCACGAGACAGACGCAGCTAAGAACCGCGCCAGCAAGGGCTACGCATTGGACGAGGCTTTTGTAGTAAATCTAAAAAAACACACAAACACACACACACACACACACACACACACACACACACACACACACACACACACACACACACACACACACACACACACACACACACACACACACACACACACACACACACACACACACACACACACACACACACACACACACACACACACACACACACACACACAAAAAAGGAGCAGGACGGCGGCGGCGGCGGCGGGGGAGGCGAGCGACCGCCCCCAGACGGGCCCGACAGCTCACGGAAACGCCGAGGGGGGCCAGCTTTGGAGTCGGACCTTCATCGCCACCATCTACAGTTCCAACTTCGCAGGCCACCGTCGATTCGGTGATCTGCGTTTTTACTGCAACTGGAATGGCGACCTCGTTCTGGCCTTCCCTCGAGGCGCGGGGGCCCAAAGTCACCCCGACGGGGCATCGTGCCCCCCAGCCTTGTCATGAGCTGCTCGTGCCCTGCGGGCTCCCCTACGAGTGGCGCGAGAGTGGAGCTGCGCCACGTTTCCGCCAAGATGTGCCCGGTGGCTTCGGGGGAGACTTTGGCGGCGCCAGGCCAGCGCGCCCGCCGCCCATCTGCTTCGGCCGTCGCTTCGGCGCCCCGCGGGCGGGTCGACGGCACCCCGCCCCGCCGCGCCCTTGACCGAGAGACAGTGGCAGCTGGCGCGCCAGCCTGGCGACAAGCATCACGGCTGTTGCCGCGTCGAGGAGCCAACGCCACTCCTGACTGGCGGCATCGCCGGAATCAGTCGGGCCGCGACAAGGATCATGGACGATTTGCATTTGGGAGGCAGCGCACATTGCGTGGAGCCCCCAACCCTCACCGCATGCAGCTTCAGCACCCTGCCCCGTCCAGCGGCGCTGCCATCTTGACCCAGGGGCCAGCGGCGCCGCACGAGCACGGCATCATCTTCCGCACGCCTCGCGTCTTTGACCTCGAGCCCAGTCGCTTTCCCAGTCAGCTGCCTCCCACGCGCATGCGCGTGGACCACTGGGCCGCAGCAGCAGCGCGCGCGCAGGATGCTCGGCGTTTTTCTGCTCGCGCGCCCCGAGAGCCTCTAATTGCGAGCAGGCCACCTCGCCCGCGCCAGGCCCCTCAGCTCGGAGAAGAAGTGCGACCGCAGGCTGATGCTGACCGTTGACAGGCGCCGCCGCAATGCACTCGGTAACTTTATGAAGGGGCATCCTCCGCGAGTATGAATTTGCCGCAGAGCTCCCCAGTAGTCGACGCGCCTACCTCGCGCGTCTCGACACCCTGCCCCATGACTAGCAGTTCGCGAAGCTGCCCCTTCCGAAGGGCGGGCGCTAGTCGACCTCCACGGACGACGCCAAGGATTTCTTTCTTCTGCATCCCGCAGTGGCCGGACGCCGAGGCCAGGAAGACCACCCTTGCCTTTGACCTCGGGGCCAGCGAGCTGCCAGAGCAGAGCGTCTCCTACGAGGAGGATTGCCTCCGCTGGCGCGGCCGCGACAGGATCGCTCCGGCCTCGGCAGTTCCCGCCGCGGAGGGCCAGGGGGCTTCGACTGCGGCCCAGATCGCGCACCAGCACTGCCTGCGATTCGCAGAATGTCCTCGCAACGGGGGCGGCTCACCGATTGCCCCGCCCCCCGCTCAGATCGAGTCGCGGAGGGTGTCCACTCGGACGACCGCGCGGTCTTTGGCCTCCCCGATGGTTCTGACGCTTCAGACCGAATACAACGGGCCCCACCTCAGCGCTTCTGGCAAGGGCACCAGGCACACGACCGCGCGGGCATCAAGAGAAAGGAGGGAAAGGCAACCCTGGACCAGCCCAACGGGGTCGTCTGGGGGGGGATATCTCTTCGGCACGACTCGACGAAGGCAGGGAGATTGACGGTCCAGCAGCTCGGAGTGATCACCGCGTACATCACCGTCGCCGGTGCCGCGTCGGTCGCTCTCATGAGGAGGCTGGTCGGACACTGGATGCACCGTCCGAGATTTCGCCAGGCCGCCATGCGTACTGTCTACAGGCCCTACGCGCGGCTGCACGCGGCCAGCGTGGACCCCACGGCGCGGCGCTGGCTGCCGAATGCGGCGATCAACGAGCTGATTGGGCTGGTCCTCCTGCACCCACGTTCACGAGCTCGTTCGATTCCACGGCGGCGGGGCACGTTCTCGCTTCGGGCGCCACCCTCCTCGTCGGCGGCGCTGCGCCGGCCCCGCTCCACGCGGAGGAGGCGGTCTGGCTTTTGGCGCGGGCCCCTCCACGGGCAGACGCGGCGGAGCTCAAACTTTCCGGGCCCCCAGACCCCGACGAGCCCTTTCAGGTCCTGGAGGGCGGGGTCCGGGATGATTCTCTGATTCGCTCCTGGGCAGGGCCCAAACAGTTTACCACCCCGCTGTGCCACAGGTTCTCGGGGCGACGACATATCAATGCACAATGGGCCGTCGCCTTCAGATCCCTGGTGAGGCGAGCGGCCAAGGACCCAAACCTGCGCGGTAAACGAACCCCGGGGCTCATCGACCAACAGGTTGTACATCGCGCTTCCGTCCAAGGGCGATCATCCAGCAGGATCATTGACAGTATCTTCGCCTTGGCTCCCCCGTTTTTGTTGTTCGCAGGGCGACCCCCTGTCATTTCCAGCGCGGAGCGCCCACCATCCTGCAGATGGCCCAACAAGAGATGCGGAGATGAGCAAGGCCAGACCGCGCCCTCCCGAGGTGGTGGAACCCCTCTCTGCGCAGCCATGAGCGCTGCGGATGGATCGCCATCAGCCGCGACGCGCAGCATGGCCCTCTCGAGGACTTCACCGATCCCGACATGCTCGCCCAGGAAATCGAGCTTCTCACGAGGGTGAGGCCGATGGCGGGCGCTCCGGGGCCCCCTTGCGGGACCCTCCCGCGATTCACGAACTTGTGCTCGCGGTCTTATCGGACTCGCCAGCGGCCGCGGCAGCGTCGAGTGGAGATCCCAGGCAACAAGCGCGAAGGCTGGGCTGGATCCTGCGAATCTCCTCGACCGCGCAGGCGCCCTGCGGGCACGGGAGCAGGCTCAACAGTCTCCTCCGCGGGCACCTTCAAAGCTCCAGGAGGCCCCCAGAGCGCCCCACGAGCGCGTCATGGATTGGAACATGCGGGGCAGGCGACGGCGCAAGACCACCACCTGAAAGGGGCGGCGGGCGTTCCTGCACCTGCTGGCAAGGCGATGCGACTGCAGACATCAACACTTCGTCCTGGAGGCCGGCATCCACTGCGAAGACGGCGTCTGGCGGCGTCTGACAGAGGTGGCGGCAGAGTATTCCAACGAGCGGTGCGACGCGGTGTCCGAGCAGCTCGACCTGTGCTGCCGCTCCCGTGCTGTTGATGCGCCCAGGGATATTGTCGTGGCTTCCGGCCAGTGCCGCCGATCCAGGGCGCTCCAGATGCCAGTGGACATGGGCGTCGACGACGACGACGACGACATGGAGGAGGTTGAGGACGACGACGGCGGCGATGACGACGACGACGACGACGACGACGACGACGACGACGACGACGACGACGACGACGGACGACTAACGACCCCCTCCCCCCTTCAGAGCGGAGGGGAGGGCGAAAGCGCCGACCCCCCCCCCAGCAGAGCGGAGGCGGGGGCGAAAGCGCTGACCCCCCCCCTGGCAGAGCAGAGGGGAGGGGCGAAAGCGCCGACACCCCCCCCCCTGCAGAGTGGAGGTGGGAGCAAAAGCGCTGACCCCCCCCCTAGCAGAGCGGAGGGGAGGGGCGATAGCGCCGACCCCCCCAGTCGACGCCTACGCGCAGTGCGTCTACGACATGAAGGTGCCATATTCTTCGGGATCCGAGACCCTTGTTGGCATCCAGTTTCGCTGGCCCCAGCCAGACCCGCGGTCAGCTGCGCCCTGTCTGGGTCGCGGACGCACGCTGGCGCAATTTCGAGCCGGTCGAGATGCGCACACCCATGCCTGTCGAGGTGTTCCTAGCCCTGGCCGTCGCTGCCCATGCCCCTGACCTGGCCGTCGTGCCCTGGCCGTCGCTGGCTGTGACAGCAGCGCGTTTGCTCTTCGCCTTGCATTCGCTGCTACGGCCCAGCGAGGTCGCAAATGCCTTCAGGCATCACTTCGTCTTGCCAGGTCACCTGGGAGGCGACATCAACACAGGCGTACTCGGGCTGCCCTCTGCCAAGGCATCGGACCGAGGGCCAAAGTTCCAGCGCGTCCTGATCGACGATCCTGCGCTGCTGAACTTGATACCGCGCATCTTTGGCCCCCCCCCACTCGCCGACGGCAGCGTCGCGCCCAGGGCATCTGCGCGGACTGACCCATAGGTTCATCTACCTCAAGGGCCTCGTCGGCATCAGCGACTCGCCCTACACCCCTGCGTCGCCGCGAGGAGGCGGGGCCATCCATCACTTCCGCTCATTCCAGAACCTGCGACGGCTGAAACACCGTGGGCGCTGGGAGAGATCCATGCGCCATCTCCAGACGGGAACGCGCGCCCTGCCCTTCGCCCGCACGTCGTCTGACAGCCGACAACGTCTCCAACAGCTTGCCCAACTCGCTCCAGCTGCATAGGGTGTTGGGCGACTGCGTCACCAACACACCCGGGGGGGCAAGACGCATTCCAAACACATGGTAACGATTGTAAGGTTGGAGCAGGTTGAAAGTTCCCTGCCTTCGGGGCTCTGTGGGGCCGCGCGGCAGAGACAGCGCCGCTGCGCCCCGACGCCCCTGGCCGCCTTTTGGCCAGCCTTTCCTTGCAAATGTCACACATGCGGCGCTTCGGAAAACGAGCGCCGGAGATCATGTGAGCACAGCGGCTGTGATTATAAACTGAAGTGTTCTGTAGTTTCCTTGCCCTTGGCTCTGTGGGGCCGCGCGGCAGAGAGCGCCGCTGCGCCCCGACGCCCCTGGCCGCCTTTTGGCCAGCCTTTCCTTGCAAATGTCACACATACAGCGCTTTGGAAAACGAATGTCGGAGATCATGTGAGCACAGCGGCTATGATTGTAGACTGAAGTGTTCTGCAGCTTTCTCGCCCACCCCACCCCCCACCCCACCCACCCACCCCTTGCGAGCAGCATCTGGACAGGTCGAAAGCTCTTTGTTTTTGGGGTTCTGTGAGGGCCGCGCGGCAGAACCAGCGCCACTGCGCCCCGACGCCCCTGGCCGCGCTTTGGCCAGCTTCCCAGTTGCAAACTTCACACGCGGGGCTCTTTGGAAAACGAACGTCGGACATGAGAACAAGGATGAAATTGATTCGACGATGATGGTGGTGATGACACTCAGGATGAAAGTGAGGGCGCTGATGAGGATGATGATGAGGATGGTTAGGATTATGTTTATGATGGTGATGATGACGATGACGATATTGAGGATGATGGCGATGATGTTAACGATATGATGATGGGCAGCATGGGGGTGACGACACTGATGATGATAATGATGGTGATTATGATGATGATGGTGAGTGGGATGTTTCGACGAATGCAGATAATCACGATGCTTTTCGAACATGGCGATGCCGCTGATGCATATGATGATGACGAAAAATGTCATGTTTTTGAGTACGCGGATGGTGATGACAATTGCGAGGTGGTGTTTCTGATTACGGCGATGATGATGAGGATGATGTTGAGGATGGTGTTGATGTTGAAGAGGATGTCGATAATAATGTTGATGGTGATGCTGATAGTGACGGTGTTGATGTTGATGATGGTGGCGACGATGATGAGAATGAAGCGGACGAGGAGGAGGAGGAGGTGGTGGAAGACCACGAGGTGGCAACGAGAAGGAAAAAGAGAAAGCTGATGAGGATGATGAGGATAATGAAGAACTAGACGAGGAGGAGCAAGAGGAGAGAAAGAGGAGGAGGAGGAGGAGGAAGAGGAGGAGGAGAAGAAGGAGGTGGAAGGAGAGGACGGTAAGGAGAAAGAGGAGGAGGAGCCCGAAGAGGATGATAGGGGTGGTATCGGTGCTCATGATGATAATGATGATGATGATGACGTTGAGGACGATGGCTATGATGTTGATGTTGATGCTGTTGATGATGGCGACGACGACGACAATAATAGCAGTGATGCTAACCACGAACACAATACCATTAAAAATAAGAAATAAGACTCCTTCTCCCGCAAGAAAACAAGGAAGGGGATGGAGATCATAATGAGGAAGATTGTGATGATGTGGGTCATTATCATGATGGCGATGATGTTGCTGAGCACGAGGACGAGCAGTATGATAATGACGATGTTGATGGTGGTGGTGGTGGTCGTGGTGATGACGATAATGTCGATGATGCTGAGCATGGTTATTATGATGATGATACTGATGATGGTGATGCTGCTAGTGATGGTGATGATGGTGACGATGATGGTGATGGTGGTGGTGACGGCAATGGTGAGGATAATGAGGAGGTGAAGGATGGACCTGATGACGATGTGGATGACGGTGATGATGATGCTGGTATGGACGAGGATTATGCTGGTGACGAGGGTGATAAATGGATGACATGGGATGATGAGGATGGTGATGGGGAGATTGATGCTGATGTCGATGATGATGTTGACGGTGGTGGTGATTATGAGGAGGATGAGGAAGATGATGAGGATGATGAGGAGGTTAAGTGAGCGGATGAGGGGGGGAAATGGGGACCAGTGCGTCGCCACGAAAGGCTAAGTTAGCGTATGGTATGGGGCCTGCTTGAAGAAGCGCTTGCTTCAGCTCCCAAACTGGTTGAAAACATACCAGCCATTTTGTTGATCCGTGGTGTCTCTTGGGGCCCTGTGTAATGGTCAAAAATCATCACCACGCTCAGCAGTGTGAGAGAACACGCAGCCGAAACGTCGCGTGTCACGCTGTGTCTGCCTCTACCGCAGAGGTGGAGACAATATGAATAAGTTCGTCTCGGACCATAGCCTACCGTTTGGAAGATCAGGGTGTTTCTTAACACACGTGTCCAGTTCTGCTTAGAAAGAGGTAACGTACAAGAATCGTGGGCAGCTCTATAGGAGGTTAATCGCCCGCTGCACTTGGGAGATGACACCAAACCCCCAGCTAGCAAATATGAGGGAATCCCCATCATAACTGGTTGTGTACACTCTGTGCTCTTGGTGGTCCTCGGCGATGGTACTGAAGACTGCGCTGGATCCAGGGCAGGCTGCCTGCTGAGGCGGGACCTGGTGTTGGCGCCGGACATAGCAGGTGCGGCACGTCCAGAAAGTGGAGCACCACTTGCAAGAGTGGCCCCGCGCATGCCCTGGGACGGGCTGCCGCAGAGCCTGAGTGCCGAAGGTGCGCCCTACAGAAAATATGTCCCACCGTAGCCCCAGCCGCGACGAAAGAGAGGGGCGTAGGAAGGAGACGTGGACAGGCTCTGCTTTTCCGGCAGGGGAGCTGGCTGACGCCGCAGCCGACAGACACCGTGTAGGTGAAGCGGCCATTGGCACACCAGCGCCACTCTGAGCCCGTCCCTGCCCAGGCGGCGCAGAACCCGACGCTGGCAGGAGTTCGGGCAGGAGGGGACAGCGGAAGGATCATGAGTAGACGGAGTGGAAGTAGGATGAGGGTGGGGAGTGGGCGGGGGATGAGGAGGAAGAGGAGGCGGAGGAGGATGAGTACGGGGAGTTGAAGTGTGGGGATGAGGAGAGATATGGACAAGGGAATGGAGAGGGAGGAGGAGGAGGAGGGGAAGAGGAGGAGGAGGAGGAGAAGGAGAGCGGTGAATAGGATGAGCAGGAGATGGGGAGAAGACCAGGGTGAGGAGGAGGAGGAGGAGGAGGAGGAGGATTGGGATGAGGACTGGGATGAGATTGGGATGAGATTGGGATGAGGAGTTGAGTAGGACGAGGTGACCATGAGGATGAGGAGGACGGGGATGGGGATGGGGGAGCAGCATTCGGGTAAGGGCGGCAGATCCGAAGGAGGAGGAGAAGGAGGATGGCGAGTTGCAGAACCCGTGACCGCCTCCCAGATAGATTTCGGCATCCTGGAAAGGGGGAACATCAGGAGGAATAGCGAAGCATCTCACGCGCCTTGTCACCCCAGCAGGTCGGGCCCAGCGGACCTCATCAGCGGCAGCAGGGGCGACCTTAACTGGATGGTTACCCCGATGTGCTCCGAGAAGCTCAGTGGCGCGACGTGCGACGAGGGCAGAAAAAAGAGCGAGGTGGTGGAGGAGCTGCCGTGGATGGCCTCCTGGAACGGAGTTGCGGAGCTCGACGACGAATGGTGGAAGGACGACAGACCGCCGGAGGAAGAGCGCGTGATTGCTTTTCTGGATTTTTTGGAAAAGCGCGAGGAGAAGAGAATAGTCGTCGTGTCCCACGGTGCCTTTCTTGAGTACATCGTCGGGTATCACCTCCACAACGCACATCACCACCTGATGCCGGTCACAGAGTTTCGCGGAATCAGGCAGAGATTGAGCCGGTCGACGTTCAACCTCGGCACGTGCATGGTGCGCGAGTACGAGGAGACCCCGTTGCACGACCTGCTTAAGGCCCCCCTCACTTGCTTCAAGGGCATCGGCAAGAGGAAGGCATCGCTCCTGAGTTCTCTGGGCGTTCAGACGGTCCGCCACCGGTGCGCAGAAAGGGGGGGTGGGGCGAGGGGCTCTGCCTCGTAAGAGCGTCGGGGGTCTGCTTAAGCCTCCAACAAGCAAAAAGTGCATGAACGTAAGCGTTCGAAGGTCCGCGCGGATTTCTTGGATCGGCGTTGCACTTCCTGGCGGCGCCTTCAGCGACGACCCTTGCGCGTTTCGCGCGCCAGGGAGGGGAGAGGGGATCCAACGCCGATCCGAGAAACCCGCACGTACCTCAGACAGATGTGCTTTACGAAGAGGTTCCAGGGCTACCTTCTCCTATATGAGAAGCTCGACGCCTTCTTGAAAGGCCGACCTCCGCCCGTCTCCCGTCTATTAAGATGCAATTCTTGGCAGGTTTGATTCAGCATCGGTACTGGTATATCCGTCGCCGAAAAGAAGCCTAATCTGGCACGGCCCCGCCTTGTCTGGCTCCATCGGGCTAAATGCGGGGCTTAATCCGGGCTGTTACGGCTTAATGGTGGCTTAGTATGCCTTCTTAGTTTTCAATGGTTCTTACGAAGACCTCCCAGGAGTTGGTTTCCTAAGTCTTGTGTGTTCCGCCAAGGTGGAGCAGCTGGCGCGGTGGAAGTATGCGAAGTGGGCCGAGTCCATATGCCTCCTGGCTCCCGAGGAGAAAGAGGGGGGCCGCGACGTCAGCCACACGGCCCGGAGGATCAACATCAACAAGGCTCTCGATAAGGAGCGTGTGCGCCCAGCGCAAGCGCTTCTTGATTTTCTCTGAGATCCAGGCGTTGCAATATTTTCAACTCCACCTTTTCTCGTCACGAAAAGAAGGCCCGTGGGTGTGAATGCTGTGAAAGAAAATTATGTTTGCTTCGCTATTTACAAACAAAAAACAAACAAACAAAAAAGGACGTCGGATTTCTGGTGCATCTGGCGTTTTCGCCTTGTTTCGGGTGCTCACACCCTCACAGATCGATCCGGCCCAAGACATGCAGTAGAAAGTTGGGGTCTAGGGCTCCGCTGGAGATTTTCCCATGCTGCATTTTTTCGCGTCGTCGGATCTCAGGGCTACGTCCATTTGACATGCTATCGGGAAAACCTTCAGCAGGGGATTCCCCCCCCATCCTCCTCCTCCCTTCAATGCCTAAGCAGACTGTCCCTTGCCCTCCCTCCTTTACCCTCCCCCCCCGCAATCATTCTTCTGTTCGGGAGGAGCAGGAGTGGGTTCACCCAGCCCGTCTCCCCCACTTTCCCCTCCGTCCCCCCTCTTCCCTCTGCTCGCTTCGCCCATGCGAGGGAGGAGCGATAATAAAACGCGGGGAACTTCACCCATGCGAGGGAAAAGCGGTGGTGGAACGCGGGGAAGCAGAGGAGGACGATTAAGGCGCGTTCTGTCCCCCCCGCTCCCCCTGTAACGTAACGCCCCCCACCAGCCACCCCCCGCAGAGCACAGAGGGCCTCCAGCTCTGCCCTCCCAGCCCGCACCCACACAGTGCGCTTTTAGCATTGCCGCAGCGCGCGCGCTATACACCAAAGCCTCTCGGCCAGGTGCAGTCGCAAGCGATAATAGTGAGGCGTTCGCATGCGCATTGGTGCTCACAGGTACGGATCGCGGGCTACGGTGGCGCCCACAGAATTACTGCTTGTACTCGGGTGCCCGCAGACACGCTGGGCGCTCACATGCAGCAGGCTAGATCACGAGGAGTCGAACACGGAGGAGAGGAGGGAAAGAAGCAAGAGGAAAAAGACAAGTAGAAACAGAAGAAGGAAGCGGATGAGGAGGTCGAAGATGTCATAGCTCATCGTCGTCATCGTCGTCTTCGGTCGTCGTCGTCGTCTGCGTCGTCGTCGTCGCCCAGTCGTCGTCGTCGTCGTCGTCGTCGTCACCCAGTCGTCGTCGTCGTCGTCTGCGTAGTCGTCTGCGTAGTCGTCGTCGCCCAGACGTCTGCGTCGTCGTCGCGCAGTCGTCTGCGTCGTCGTCGCCCGGTCGTCGTCGTCTGCGTCGTCGTCGTCGTCGCCCAGTCATCGTCGTCGTCGCCCAGTCGTCGTCGTCTGCGTTGTTGTCGTCGCCCAGTCGTCTGCGTCGTCGTCACCCAGTCGTCGTCGTCGTAGTCGCACAGTCGACGTCGTCGTCGCCCAGTCGGCGCTGGCCACTGTCGCCGGCGTCCGTAGTCGTCGCCTAGTCACCGTTGTCGTCACCGTTGTCGTCGTCGTTGTCGTTGTCGTTGTCTGCGTCGTCGTCCCCCGTTCGTCGCCCAATCCCACTCGTCACCTCGTCGTCTTCGTCGTCCAATCTTCGTCGTCGCTCACTTGTCGTCATCGTCTACGTCTGCGTCGTTGTCGTCGTTGGCATTGTCGTGCAGTCGTGCAGTCGTCGTCGTCCTCGTCGTCGTCGTCGTCCATCCTTGTCGTCTCTTGGCGTCGCCCAGTCGTTACCGTCGTCGTTGTGATCGTCTGCATTGTCGTCGTCTTTTTCGTGCAGTCGTCCAGTCGTACAGCCGTCGTCGTCTGCGTCGTCGTCGTCCGTCGCCGTCCGCCCTCGTCGTCGCCGCCGCCGCCGTCGTCGTCGTCGCCGTCGTCGTCTTCGTCACCTTTGTCGCAAAGTCGTCGCCCCATTCATCGCCTAGTCGTCATCGTCGTCGTCGTCGCCCACTTGTCATCGTCTTCTGCCTATGCATCGTCGTTGTGCCGTCGTCCAGTCGCCCCGTCGTGCAGTCGTCGTGATTGTCGTCATTCGTCGTCGTCGCTTTTTGTCATCATCGCCGAGCCATTGTCGTTGTCGTGTGCGTTGCCGTCGTCGTCGTCGTCGATGTCGCTGTCGCCTGCGTCGTCAATGTTTTCGTCCAGTCGTCCTGTCGTGCAGTCGTGGTCCTCGGCTGCGTCGCCACCGTCGCCGCAATGCCCACAATGCCCACAATGCGCGCGAGCGCTCCTGCTGACGCTGGGCCCACGGGGCGTTACGTCACAGTCATGACGCTGAAATAAGGACCATGTGGGGCGTCGCAAAAAGGGCCTTTCCTTCGAGGATCGAAGGCGTTGTCATCTCTTCCGCCGCGGAAGGGCGGCAGAAGGTCGGCGGAAGTAAAACGAGGCCGCCTCCTCCGGCGGAAGCCGGCGGAAGCTCGGCGGACGGCGGCAGAAGTAAAAAAACACGACCCCAGGAGATGAAAACGTTTTTGGGTTCAGGGTTGCCGAAAACGCCCATGTGGGGTCAGGAGGGTCTGGCTTTCGACTCGGTCCTTACATTTATGCCGACCAACTTTCTCGTGGCCGAGGCTCGCAGTGGCCAGAAAGGCCAGGTCGTTCATGATTCAGCGTTCCTTCAGGCAGCACAATGACTGCATGCCCCCCCCATATGGCGCGCTATCGCCGTGAATTCAACCGCCCCCGGAAAGAGAAGTGGGAGGAATAGAATAAACGAAGAAAGCAGGGATGGGGATCGCGCGGCAGCCCGAGGAGGAGCAGCATTAGTGGCAGGATGGAGCAGCGAAGCAGACGCCTCAAGACGCAGGACGACGCACGACGACGGCGAGGGACGGACGACATGTTCGACGACGACGACGACGACGACGACGACGACGACGCAACACGGACGATGACGACGCTATGCAGGACGGCGGCGACGCCGCTGGCGACGGACGACGACGGCGCTGGCGACGGCGACGAGGATGACTAACGCCTGGCGAAGAGAGACGCACGGCGGTGGCGGCAACGACGACGACGACGACGACGACGACGAGCGGTGCGTGGTGCCGTGAGATGCACCGCGATGCGCGGTGTGCTCTCGCCCATCCTCCCCCTCAGGAGTGGGAGGGCTGGGCCATGTCGTTTCTGCTCGAGGCGCCGCCGTCTGCGTTCGAAGGAGGGGAATGGGGGGAAGATCGAAACATAAAATCGGCATGAGCATACAATGTCGCAGGTCCGCGCGGATTTCTTGAATCGGCGCTGGGCCCCCCTGGCAGCGCCTCCAGCGCCGCCCCTGGCGCGCTCCGCGCACCAGGGAGGGGCTTCCAACACCGATCCAAGAAATCCGCGCGGAGTTCCCAAAGTTTGTGTTATGCAGTTCTTCAGTGTCCTAACTATGGGGTTATTGCGATTACCGGGACGCCTCAGCCTCACCCGCTCCCCTCCCCTCCTCCCGCTTCCTCCCTACTCACACCCAGACTCATTCACGCTCAGACTTGCTCACAATCAGGATCACTCACACTCAGACTAACACTCAGCCTCACTCGCATTCAGGCTCACACTCAGGCGCACTCATACTCAGATACACTCAGACTCAGATGCACTCACACTCAGACTCACCTCTCACACTCAGACTCGTACACACTCAGGCTCACTCGCACTCAGACTAGTTCACACTCAAACTCACTCACACAGGCCACTCACACTCAGGCTTGCCTCAGACTCAACGTGTGAGGATGTTTCGGGTGACGCGCTGGTTTCATCACCCTGAGGGGGAGCCGCCAGGGGGTACGACACTTGCCCGTTCGCGGCCAGATTGTGGTCGTGTTTCAGGCGGTTTGCGTACTTGGTTGAGCAGACTCATCTCTGCTGAGAGCCCCAATTGCCACAACGAAAAAGCGGGTGTTGCACTTGGCCATCCAAGAAGGAGCCACCAGGGGGTATGGCACGGTGTGACACTTGCCCATTCGCGGCCAGACTCTGGGGATGCTTCAGAACCCACCCCTGTTGAGAGCCGAATGATCACCGCGACATGTCATGCGTGGCATTTGGACAGCCAAAGCAGGAGCATCCAGGAGGTATGACACTTGCCCGTTCGCGGCCAGATGTGTGGGCATATCGCAGTCGGTGTGCGTGTTTGGGTGGTCAGATTCATGGCTGCTGAGAGCCCAGCGACCATCGAGATCTAGCAGGCGTGGCATTGGGCCACACAAGGAGGAGCCGTGAGGTGGTGTTGTACGGGCCCGTTCGCGGCCGGGTGTTGGGCATTGTTCAGGCGGTTTGCGTGTTCGGTTGATCAATCTCACCTCTATTAAGAGCCCAATGATAATCATAACACAGCAGGCGTGGCATTGGGGAAACCCCAAGGTGGGGCCGCCATCTGATGAGAGCCCCGTGGTCACCGGGATATGTCGGGCGTGGCATTTGGTCACCCAGGGAGGAGCCTCTGAAGCGTATGAAGGTTGCTAATTCGCGACAAGGTTTTGCGGATGTTTCCGTCGGTTTGCGTGCTTGGTGGTTTGGATTTCTGTGCAATCAGAGGAGATCGTGAAAGAGTCTCGGGCGAGGCGCTGGCTTCCGCACCCCATTTGGGAGCCGCCAGGGGGTGTTGCACGAGCCCGTTCGCGGCCAGATTGTTGGGATGTCTGGAGCGAGGCGACCGTTTTGTGATTGGAATTGTGTTGAGAGCGGATCGAGAGGATGTCCCCAGCGAGTCGGACGCATCGCTGGTTTAGGCACCCTTCGGCCCCAATTGTCAGCGCCCCAAGAACATCCCGATGAAGCAGGCGTAGCATTCGGGAACCCATTGGGGAGCCGCCACGCCAAGATTCCCCCCGCAAGTCGGACACTTACAGACGGAAGCGCCAGGCATTGAGATGCACATACAGGGACACCCGCGTCGAAAAAATGCTCATAGGGAAGAGGAGGAGCGCCGAGTGTCCAGGTGTTCAGGCGCCCTTGTTTGTTTACTCCCCTCCTGTGTTGAGTGCTCGTCTCAAATGTAATGGAGCAATGCTGATCATGTCTCGTCTCGTCTTCCCGCCCTCCTCCCCATCCAGCCTTCCTCCTGCGTTTCGCATACCTCGCATGATGTTTCACACCTGTCTCTCTGTACCTTCCGTCTGCCTCCACCTAGCCTCCCCATCTCACCTTCCATTTATTTACCTGCTCGAAGTACCTTGCTGTAGTGGGTGATGCCAACTGCGCAACCGTCGCCAGTTTCGCGATGACGATCAGGCGGAGGGGGAGAAGAGAGGGGCATGAGGGGCAAGGGAGGAGAACGATGAGGAGGATCAGCATGACACATGAGGCGAAGGAAGAGGGGGAGGAGCAAGGAGGGAGGGTACGGGGAGGCCTGCGGGAGGGGGCCTGAGGGAATATGCAAGTATAGGGGAGAGAGAACCCAGGGAGGTCTCAGCGAGAAACACAACCCCACGTTCAAGGCCCTCGGCATCTCGAACATCCAGGATTTCGGCCAGTGGAACGTTTTCAAGTGGGCCAGGGCGATTCATCCCAGAGGCTTACGCCATTCCGCCGTTGCTAAGAGGAAGGGCTTGACGAGTTTGGCTCACCACCTCTCAAGTCGAATGTTGGACCCCTGGGAGGTGGAACAGCGAAAAAACTCAGACACCTTTTCACCTCTGGAGAGCGGAGGTTGGCGGGCACGCTTTCCGAAGTTGAGTCGCTGGACGGACAGTCGTGACAGCGAGATTGTCGATGACGATGGCGATGAGCCGCTCTCTCTCTCTCTCTGCGCAGTTGGCTGGTGCACCCTGGTATACACAGAGCATACAATGCTCGCCGTTCGTCTGGAGAGCGCCTCGCCCCCATGCCGCGTTCATCGTTCCCGCTGTCGCTCATCCAGATGTTGCGCTCGGGCAGGTATCAGACACAGTCTGGTCTTGCTGCGCCGCTGCGGCCGCTGTCAGGGGACCCATATTTTTCCGTGTGCGCGGATGGGACATCGTTGTCTGACCATGTTGGCTTAGCCAGCCATTTGGGACCAGCCATCACCATCTATCCTCAGTTCCTGCCCGCCCCCCTCCTTCCCGTGGGCCACGAAGAGAAGAATAAGGCGCGCATGCAGCCATCTGCGAACACCAGTCACCATCTCTGCGTATGTCCTGCGCAATTCCAACGTTTCCAAGTATATTGTGAGGGCCTGACGGCTGGTGCCGCCGACCCAGAAGGACGACGACGACGATGACGACGACCACGACGACAACGCTAGCGACGAGCGGATGACCCTGCCACAGGCTCGTGACATGGGCGGTCGGTGGAGGGAGGAGGAGCAGGCGGAGAAGGAGGAGGAGGAGGAGGCGGAGGAGGAGGAGGAGGAGAAGGCGGAGGAGGAGGAGAAGGAGGAGGAGGAGGAGGAGGAGGAGAGCGGTTTGTCTCCTAGGGGCGGGCCAGGGCCAGAGCGAGGGCCCAGGCCAGGGCCAGGGCCGATCCCAGGGCCGGGGCTGGGCCCAGGGCCGGGGCCCCGGTGCCCGAGCGGGGGCCAGGGCCGAGACCAGGAGCTGGCAGGGCTGGGGACGGGGCTGGGGCCCCCCGGGACCCCCCCGAGACCTTTTTTGGGGTCGCCCCCCGGGCTCCCCCCCTGCTGGGGAAGGGACAAAGGGAAGGGGTTTTTTGTCGACGTTCTTACGGCATTGTGCAATCTCCTTCATTGTTCCAGATCCTTACGACGACGACGACGACGACGGCGACGATTCACAGGAGGCTGGCGTACTTCAGTTTGGGTCGGGCTGGACTCGCGTCGAAGAGCCTCTCACACACGCCGACTGGGTCGGCGGACTATTTCCAGCGGGCGCTCCCCGTAATGACAGGGCATCTGCGTATGAGGAGGAACTTGGGGCGAGAGGGGGTATTACAGCATCAGTCAGTGATTTATGCTGGGTTCACTCTCTCCCCTTTCCTCATTTTCATATGCCTTCTGCTCCTCATTCCCTCGTCTCCCGCCCTACCCCCTACTGACTTCACATCCCCCTCGTCCTCCCCCCTGCACCCCCTCCTCCTCCTCTCCTCCTCCTCCTCCTCCTCCTTCTCCTCCTCCTCCCCCTCCTCCTCCTCCACCTCCTCCTTCTCCTCCTCCTCCTCCTCCTCCTCCTCCTCCTCCTCCTCCTCCTCCTCCATCATCATCATCATCATCATCATCATCATCATCATCATCATCATCATCATCATCATCATCATCATCATCATCATCATCATCATCATCATCATCATCCTCACCGCGCACCAGCAGCACCCCAGACGCGCAGCCCGCCCCAGAACCCGCGCACCCCACTCTGGCAGCCCGCAGACACGGCTGAGGACGCGCTGCAACCGCTCCTGGACGTGCCGTCGCCGCCTGCGCCGCCCGCCTGTGCCGTCGCCTCCTGCGGCGGCATCATGCGGAAAACGTTCACGAGGCGGCCCGGCCAGGCCGCAAGCGGAGACGGAACAGCATCATCGGCCGCCTCGTCGCCTCCGCAGTGTATCGTTGCAGGGCGTGCGGACGAGGCTTATGCTTTGGATGCCATTCCGCGTGCCTGCGTGCAGGGCACCGGCTTGCCTGTGGAAAGCCTGGCGCCACCGAGCTGGCCGACGACGCGCGGCTGCTGGTGCCGCGGCCCCTCGAGGGCCCAGCTGCTGGTTCGCCGCCGGACGCTGCCGCCGAGGCGATTGCCGCGCTCGTGGATCGCACCGCCCAGGACGCCGCTGTGGGGGTTGCTGCTGGCGAGGTGCATGCTGGGGCTGCGGGCCATTCTGCCTTGCTGCATCTCCTGCGTCGGCTTGCGACTGCCTGCCCGCGGGCGCCGCGGAGCTGGGTGCCGCGTTCCCTGAGGCAGCAGGTCACGAGTGTCCTTCGGGCGCTTCTCGTTGACGCGGCTGCCCGCGCCAGGGCAGAGGCAGGGGACGTTGGGGCCGAGGTCGTGCACCGGCTGTACAGCGAGGCCGCAGCTCCTCCTCCACGTGACTGCGGATGACGCAGCGCCTGGCTGCCGTGACGAGCTGGAGCTGCCTAGCTCGGCCGAGTCGAACGCTGTCCTCGGTGCCCGCATTCGGTCTGTGATCAAAGGTGACTGGACCAAGGTTGTCATGGATTTGCTCCACGACATCGAAGATCATCGAAGAAGAGCACGCCCACCGCATGCCAGCCTTCGCTGTGCCTTTGTCTCGAGATGCTCAGGGGCGTCTCACAGCCCCCGCAGCCCAGGTGGCCACCAGGAAGAGACGCCACGGCAGTGCACGATGGGGGCGGGATATCCTTGTTGGTGGTCCTCGGGCCCACCTCGAACGGGAGCAGACGAGGGCGCGCAGGGGATATTTCACACCAGATCCTTCGAACGGGAGGACGAGATCGAGCTTCGGCAGGCGCTCGCTGCAGCGTCTGCCATACCCATAAAGAAGCGTCTCACGCTGCGTCTCGTAGGTCGCCAGGCCGCCACCATCAAGCTGGCTGCTGGAGGTGGGCCAGGTGATTCGCGCAACAGCCACATCTTGTGCTCCTACTCCGACCCCGACTGCCCGCGCGCTTTGGCCGAGTGGTGCTCTTGTTGGACACGTGGCGCCATCAGCCCATCGCTCGCGATTCTCTGGTCCAGGACGCTCGCTTGGCGGTTCTACGAGACGTCGATGTGCGAGAGCATCCGCTCCACCTTGGAAGGCGAGGCTCTGCTCGAGTTCGCCAAGGGGACGTGCTTGCTGGGGGCTGGCATGCAAGTCGCGGAGGCGGTCGGGGAGCGCCAGTACGGGGCTGGACGCTGCGCTGGGGCGCAGCTGGAGATCGCGGAGGTCAGGGCAGCCGCGCAGGCCTGCCCGCAGCACGCGCTCATCGGCCTCGACATCAGAAACGCCATCGGGCAGGTGCGATGGGCGACGCCCTTAGAAGCAGCCGTAGCCAAGGCGCCCACGGTGGCCGTCACGAAGGCCATCCTCTGGTGGGACCTTCAGGTCGAGGTGTTCCTCTTGGACGCGGCTGGGAGGGGCCGGCACTCCTTCTTTCAAGGCAGCCTCACCCAAGGGAATCAGTAGGGCCACCCCGTTTTCTGCATGGTCATCGCTGTGGTGTGGCACGTCGTCGCGAATGATCCGCGCCTTCAGCCCCGATGGCTGGAGATTCGCCACCTGGCTGTACGTTGACAACTGGATGCTGCACGCGCTACTGCCGATCGCATCGCAGCTCCTCGCCGCCGCGGGGGCGGCAGCGGCAGCCCGCAACCTTCCGCTGCAGCTCGCGCAGCGTGCGTTCCACCTGCCCGCGCTGGCCGGCACCCCGCTGGAAGCGCCCTCGGGCGACGCGCGGGCCCTCTGCCGCCCGGACGGGTTGGGCCCGCTCGGCGCCCGAGGGCGCGCGGCGACTAGGCCACGCCGCCATGCCGCTCGACGCCGCAGGGGTGTCGGAGCAGACTCGGCAGCGCCCGGGCCCCCAGGCGACCCGCCCGGCCGACGCCGCGCTCGAGGTGATGCGTCGCCTGGCACCCCCGGCCGGCGAAAATAGGACCGCCTTCGCCCTCTGCCGCAGCACTGTCGCCCCACGGTCTTGACTACGATGCTGGCGCCGGTGCCGCGCAGCGCTCTGCTGCCCGCGCCCGCGTCCAGGACCAGTGCGTCGCGGGCGTCGTCGCGGCATCGATCGACTCGCGCCCAGGCCAGCTCTCAGAGGTGGAGCTCCGGCAGATTGGTCCGCCAGTCCGGCGCGCTGGCCTGCAGGTGAACGCGCCCTCGCGCATCGCCCCGCTGGCACGCGCGGCCCAGCTCACAGGGCACGGCCTCGCGCTCCGCGCAGAGATCGCTTCTTGGGCGCTGCCAGCGGCGAGGCGGCCGCGGTCGCCCCCGACGTTCAGCTGTGCGACAAAATCGACGATGCCGCGTCGGACTGCATTAGGGACACGCTGAGGGACTGCGGCAACGCCGCCCTCTCTAGGCGCGGCCGCCCTTCCCCAGACCCAGCAGGGCGCGCGAGCGACCCGCTCCGCCCGGAGGCCCCAGAGCATCACCTTTTCAGCGAGTGGTTTCGGCATTCCGCCGCGGTGCGCCACTCGGACCTGCTCGCGGGGGCTCCGGGGAGCGGGACCGGACACGCCTTCTCAGCGCGGCGGGGCCGACAGCGGGCACGGCGATCACCGGGAACGGGCCCAGGCCGCGCGCCCCAGCCCGGGCATTCCCGCACCTTGCCCACCCGGCGCGCAGAGCCTCATCGAGGAGCCGTCCATGCAGGAGCTGCGCCTCGAGCAGCTGGACGCACGCGGTGATCGTGCCGCTATGTGCGAGCGCGGCCCCTTCCGAATGCGACCGCCGCGAATTCGTCATGCCTGAGCCAACCACAAGCCGCGCCGAGGCATGGCCAGACGTCTGGGCACACGGCGCCCCAGAACTCCTGGACTGCCTCGTGGACGTCACCGGCAGGCGCTCGGCGCTCGTGGCCCACCAGTCTGGCGCATCTCGGGAAGCCGCGCGGCGCGCGCCGCCGAGGCCGAGAAGGATCACCGCTGCCCGCTGGCCCGGGGCAGGGCAACCTGGCCTGCCGCGCACGAGATCTTCGGTAAGCTCGGCGCGCGGGCGGAGGCGCTGCTGCAGCACTGCGCGGCGGCCTACACCAGACGCGCCCGCCGCAGGGGCCGCCTGCCTGCCCGCCCGCTGCACCGCCAGCGCGCTCAGCTAGACGCCGCGCGCTCATGCGCGGCGTGGCTGCGCAGCTGCTCGCCGCCCAGCGCGGCGCGCCAGGCCGCCCGCGCTGGCGCGTGCCCCCCCCCCCCCCCCCCCCCCAGCGCGCCGGCGCTGGCCCGTGAACGTGAGCCCCTGAACCCTGCCGGAACGTGCCAGACTGCCTTCAGTTCCGTGCCCCTCATCATCCCCGTCCCTTCTGTTCAATGTTACTCGTCCGCCCTCCTCTTCGTCGTCTCTCATGCCCCGCCCCCTCCATCCTCCTCCACCCCCCCCTCCTCTCCCATATTCTCCCTTAGCGTCGTCATTGTGCTTATCATCCCCCCTCCTCCCCCTCATGATCCCCCCATCATTGTCATGATCACTCCCCCTTCCCTTCCTATTCCCCCCTCCCTCCTTCATTCTCCTCATCCTCATCCCTATTCCTTCTTCGTGCATACTCCCACTCTGCCACATAACCAGCCGATAGCGACCCGATCCTGACCATCCAATCTAAATCGAACCTTGAGGGATCCATGAACCCAGCAAAGAGCTTGAGTCATCTGTTTTGTCGACGCGCGTGCAACACCTTTTCGCTTGGCTGCAACCACTACCGCCTGCACGTCCTGCTTATCATCCTCTTCCTCTTGCTCCCCTTTTTCCTCATCCTCACCCTCCTCCTCCGTCTCCTCCTCCTCCTCCATCGTCTTCCTCCTTCCGCCTTCCTCCGTCTTCCCTGCGCCTTCTTCTTCATTGTCATCATATTCCTGCCTCCATATTTCGTCATCACCTTCAGCGTGGCGGCGCCTGAGCAAGTGTGAAGAATTCAACGCGGCCAAGTTGTCCCCCACACCCCCGGGCCGTGGACACGTAATATTACCTGCACCGCGCGCGCGCGCCAAGCGCACGTTGCCCGCCTCCCGCGCGCGCGTATTTGCACGCGCAAAAATCCGACGCGCCCAAGTTGGGTTCGCCCCCGGGGTCGTGAACACTTGGGTCCGCCTTTGGAAACCGTGAACACGTGAGAATACGCGCCCCGCGCGCACGCGTCAGGCGCATGGTGCCCCCCCCCCCGCCCCCAAGTTGGGCCCCCTGCTGGGTGGCATGGACACGTAAAAATACATGCCCCGCGCGCGCGCGCCAGGCGCATGGGCTCCCCCCCCCTGGGGGTCGTGGACACGAAACAATACGTGCCCCGCGCGCAAGCGCCAAGCGCTTGTTGGGCCCCCCTGTCCGCGCACGTATTTTGACGTGTACATCATCCGGCGGGCCCAAGTTCAGTCCCCCATGGGCGCACATCCGACGCGCCCAGGTTAGATCCCCCCAAGGGGGTCGTGGACACGTAAAAATACGTGCCACACCCGCACGCGCCATGCGCATGTTACGTCCCCCCTTCCGCGCACGTAGTTTCACATGTAATGTATCTGGCGCGCCCAATTCAAAATCCGCCTTTGGGGGCCCTGGCCACGTGAAAGTGCATGCCCCGCGCGCACGCGCCTGGCGCATATTGGGCCCCCCGCGCGCTCAAGCAGGGTCGCCCCAGGTGAAAATACGTGACCCGCGCACACGCGCCAAGCGCATGTTGGACCCCCCCCCTTCTGTGGACGCCGCGGACATGTGAAAATTCTGAAAATACATACCCCGCGCGCACGCGCCAGGCGCATTTTGAGCCCCCCCTCAGCGTACGTATTTCTACTATGGAAAATCCGGGGGGCCCAAGTTGAGTCCCTCGTGGGGGGACGTGGGCACGTAAAAGTACATGCCCCGCGAGCGCGCGCCAAGCACATCCTGAATCCCCCCCGCGCCCAAGTTAGATCCCCCCAAGAGGGCCGTGGCCACGTGAAAATGCGTGCCACGCGCGCACGCGCCAGGCGCATGTTGGCCCCTTCCTCCTTGCACGCACGTTTACGTGTATAAAATCCGGCGGGCCCAAGCTGGGCCCCTCTCGTTCGGAACCGTGGACACATGAAAAGACGTGCCACGCGCGCACGCGCCAGGCGCACATTGGGTCCCCCCGCGCCCAAGTTGGATCCCCCGGCGGGCCGTGAACACATGAAAAGACGTGCCCCGCGCGCACGCGCCAGGCGCATGTTGGGCCCCTCCTCTCCGCGCACGTACTGCTACAGGGGGCCGTAGACACGTGAAAATACATGCCCCGCGCGCACGCGCCGCGCCAGGCGAATGTTTGTCCCCCTATCCGCGGACGCATTTTTACGTGTGGAAATTATGGTGGGTCCAAGTTGGGCCCTTCGTTTCAAACCGTGGACACGTGAAAATATGTGCCACGCGCGCACGCGCCAGGCTCATGTTGGGTCCCCCCCTGTCCGCGCACGCATTCGCACGTGTCAAGAATCCACCGGGCCCAAGTTGCGTCCCTCGCCTGCGGCCCCGTGCTGGCCAGAAACAAATTAAAAAAAACACGTGCCGAACGCACGCGTGCCGAGCGACACCCCCCCCCCGCACACGTATCTATACGTGTCCCAATCCGATAGGTTGACTTGGGTCCCTCGCCTGCGGCCCCGTCGTGGCCAGACTCATGTTGGAGACACCCCCCCTCCGCACACGTATTTCTACGTGTCCAAATCCGACGCCGGCTGCTCGACACCCCTCTGGTGGAGAGCGCGTGGCCCGCAGACCAAGAGAGGACCTTGCGCTGGAGTCCCTACCGGGAAAACCATACACAGCTTACGTTCTTCGTTTCAGCATGGACACGATGTCGTCCATGTTGCAAAACGAACGACGGAAAAGGGGGCGCACATCCCGCTCGAAATGCCGAAATGTCGCTCTCGCCCTTGGCGCCGCGTTCATTTGCCTAGAGATTTGAGCTCCCGTCTGGGCGCGGCGCGGAGTTTTCGCACGAATGTTCGTCGACGCGCGAGCGGGCGAAATCTCGCTTCGGCGCCGCGCAGATCTCGCCTGAAACTGCCATTCCCGCTTCGATGCGGCGCATATCTGTCGCCCGCCAATGTGGGGGGGGCCCTCGCGAGTGGGCGATGTGTCGCCCTCGCCCACGTTCCGTGCGCCCTGAGGTTTCTTCATGGACCCGTTGCCCCAATTCCAAAGCCCCCCGCCGTGTTGCATTCGCTTATCACAGCCACTACCACCGCAAGGTTTTGTCCAAACACGGAGCGAAGCATTGATTGTGGGTCCTTTGCTCAGATTCTTTCCAACCTTGAGAAGCATTGGGGGCGGCTCGTAGGGGTTTCGGAAGCTGCTGGGGGCAGTGTCAAGGTTTATCTGTACACCTACCACAGCGTGGGCGATGCTAACTTTAGCCAGCAGCACGATGATCGCCTCGTGCGCGTGCTGCGTCGGGTCCGCTATAATTTCTCGCGCTACCTCACGACAGCGCGGATTCGTATTCGGGAGAAGGACGAGGATACGGGTATTCTCAACTGGGATGTCGAGCGTGATGAAAATGCTTTGATCATGGACAGCCTCATGAAGGTTCTCGAGCTGGTCTTGCAGGAGAAGTCCACTGACGCTGTCATGTTAACCCGCGTCGACCGCAGGCGCAGGGATCCAAGAACGTTAGCGAATGTGAGGTGGAATGTCACGGATGTCGCTCAAAGGGAGGGCGTGAATTCTCTGAAAAGAGAGAAGAGGCCATATGACCCCTTTTTCGCTTTGCCGATCAAGCACGTCGAATTGTTTATTCCAGTTTTTGAGGATGTCGCCGTCAATATATTTAACAGCATGCCCATAAGAGCGCGCTGCTTCAGATTATGAGGCGTGGCTGCTTGATGCTGAATGTCGACTGCTGTCCCTAATCAGAGTCAAGCTCGTTGTCTTACTTCAGAGGCTTACGCCGTTCCGCCGACCCCCAGAAGAGGCGTGAAGTCCACGGGTGGGGCCTCTTGGGGACCCTCTGGGGACCTCTGGGCCTCCTGGGGGCCTCTCGGGGCCTTTTGGGAGGTTTTTGGGCGCCTGCTGGCGGTCTCAGGGGTCCTCTTGGAGCGGAGGGCTCGGGGTGTCAGTTCGAGAAACACCTCTTGGGCCCCTCTTGGGACCCTGTTGGGGCTCTTTTGGGCCATCTAGGGCGCCTCTTGGGCCGCCTTGGGGCCGTGTTCGGTCGTTTTGGGGCTCTCTTGGGGGCTTCTGTGGTCGCCGTGGAGCGATGTTGGGGGCCGCTTGGGCCGTCTTGGACGTTGTCAAGACGAAAATTGCGAAGTTGCTCTGAATACCTGTTTTCTTCCTCCTTGATTTCGGCGATTCTTGTTTCGTGGGGCCCTCTCGGGGGTCGTCTTGGAGCCCTCTTGGGGCGTTTTTGAGGCCATCTTGGTCGTCTTCGAGGACTCCTCGGCGCGCTGGAGCCCAGCTTGAGCAAGATCGGGTGGCATCCTGGGCATCCTGGAGGCCACGGACCCTAGATTTGGACGCTTCGGAGGCCCTGGGGATGCCACGCTGGCAGTTCCCCTCAGTCTCAGTCCCTTCAGCCATCCACCTGCCGTTGGGCCGCTGCGTGGGGCCTCGACTGGCGCGTAGCTGTTGCCTCGCGTCTCGCCTCTGCTTTAATTTTCTCGCGTGTCCTCTGCCTAATGAGCCTCTGCGTAGCCCGCTTTGACCTGACTCGCCGCCGGCGCGCTCGCCCGCGGCCGCTGACTAAAAAGAGGCCCTGGAGATGCGTTTAGGAGCTCGAACCCCCAACCCCCACCCCACCCAGGGCCCCCCCCCCCTCTAGTCGCATGTCAGACCCCAGGGGAGGGCGAAACGGAGATGGGGACAGCCAATCATCTCACACGCCTGTGCACCCCCAGCAAGCGGGGGTCGGCGGATCAACCGAACTTGTAGCGAGGACTGCAAGTGCGATGGCTGTAAATAAGATGACTTCAAATGAGGGTCACAAAGTACCCATGCAAGCTCGTGGCGGATATGAGAATATACGGTATGGATAACCCACATATATTCCGAGTACGCTTGCAAACAACCATTGAACAGGAACGGCATCAATCAACATGACCGCCACTTACACTCCAAATCCAACAGCGGCCGCTTTTGGGCAGGCGATTCTTTATCTCAGACGGACACCGTCCGTTGCGTCACTTACAGCGATTCCCGTTCAAAATGGGTAGGCATTGATGTCGGTCATCGTTTCAATTCTTTCCGTACCCATGTCGGTCGTACTGATTCTGAATGTGTTCGCAGGGTTTCGAATTGTTGCCCGCGCCCGCGCTGTGTCCAGGTCAACCATGAATCGTTCCAGATTTTTTGCGTGTGTCACAGTACGCGGATTTGCAGATGTTGCGCTTCTTGTTGGCAGCATGTTTCCGACGTAATTTTGTGACCGAACGACATTGAGGACGCATTTGAGTTTGTGATCGAATGATTTTTCGGATGAGTGTTGTTGTGGTCGCTAGAGAGTTATCATTTGCACACTTGGAGGACGAAGCAGGAACAGATGTCAAACGAACGAGGCAGTTCCGAACCACGCAGTTTTCGCAACGACGGTGCTTACGAGATGTTGCGCTATAGGTTGATTAAATCGTTTCGGTCACGTTGCCAGCCCATGTCTAAGTGGGCTTAGAGGCTTTTCGACCAAAATGGGTTATGAACTAAAGGCCTTTTTGGGAGGCTGGTTGAAGTCTTTCTTGGCAGGCTTCTCGAGAGTGTCTTGGGGCCTCTAGGAGTCTTTTGGGGGGCCCTTGAGGGCGTGTTGGCGGTCTTGTGGGCCATTTTCGGGATGCCAGTTCGGATTCCCTTCATGGAACCTCCTTGGGGAGCCTCTTGGGCCGTTCTGGGGGTTCTTGAGCAGGGAGCCTTCTGGGTTATCTTGGAGCGATAATCTGGTGCCTGGGAACCGTCTGAGGGGGTCGGAAACACGAAAAGGATAATACTTTTCAAAAAAAGAGAGAGAGAGAGAGAGAGAGAGAGAGAGAGAAAGAGAGAGAGAGAGGAACAACAAAAAAAACAAAAACAAAAAAAAAAAAAAAAAAAAGAGAGCGTGATCCACCGCCGCTTCGTTGAGGAAAATTCCCCCCCCCGAAAATCCAACCCCCCTCGCTCGAACCCCCCTCCCTCGGTAAGAACCCCCCCACCCCAACCTCCCCCCCCCCGGAAAACCGAGGGGGGTCACTATTGGTTCGAACCCCCTCCCCCTCCCCCACTCGCCGCTGCAATCGACCCCCAGGTCCCCACCACCGTCCTCATCACCGCCCTCACCACTGTCCTCACCACCACAGTCCCCACCACTGTCCCACTGTCCCACTGTCCCCCCACCACCGTCCCACTGTCGTCCACACTGTTCCCACCACTACCCCCACCAGTGCCCCCACCACTGTCCCACTGTCCCCACCGCTCTCCCTTCCACGGTCCCACTCTCCCCACTGTCCTCACTGTCCCCACCACCGTCCCACTGTCCCCACCGTTGTCCCACTGTGCTGTCCCACTGTCCCCACCACTATCCCCACCGCTGTCCCACTGTGCTGTCCCACTATCCCCACTGTTGCCACCACTGTCCCACTGTCCCCACCACTGTCCCCACTGTACCACTGTCCCATTGTCCCACCACTGTCCTCACCACTGTCCCCACCACCACCGTCCCCACCACTGTCCCACCGTCCCCACTACTGTCCCACTGCCCCCCCACCACTGTCCCCACCACCACTGTCCCAACCACTGTCCCCACCACGGTCCCCACTGTCCCCACCACTGTCCCACTGTCCCTACTGTTCCCACCACTGTCCCTACCAGTCTCCCACCATTGTCGCACTGTCCCAACTGTCCCCACCACTGTCCCACTCTCCCCACTGTCCCCGTTGTCCCACCACTGCCCCACTGTCCCCACTCCCCACCACCATCCTCGCCACCGTCCCAACCACTGTCCCTACCACAGTCCCCCATCCGTGGTGGGGGAGGAGGGGGAGTCGTTTGCCGGCGACGAGGGGGGGGTCGAACTGGTTGTGATCCCACTTTTTCATTATGGACAGGGGGGGGCGGTTTGGAACCCCCAGTGGTCCCCTCCAGCTTTCTGCTAGCAGCGGAAGAACACGCTCTTTCAAATATTTCAAAAACATGTCGGGAAGCAATGACTTGCACCCCTCGAGGCCTAAGGCTTCATGTGGCCTCTGTCGCTCGCGGGACTTCGCGTGGCATCGGTCGATGTGCGTTCCCCCTTTGGGGCCCCTCTCGCAGTTCTCTTAGAGGCGTTTTGGGCCGTTTTGATGGCCTCCTGGGATCGCCAGAAAGGGGCGCGGAAGCAATGGCGGAAGGACGGCGGAAGCTAGCGTGGTCATCCGCGCGGGCCCGCCCGCCCGTTCGGTTTCACCGGTTCTTTCGCTGGGAGAGCACATCGTGAGGATGTTTTCAGAGAGGCGTTCGTTTTAGCATCCCAGGGGGGGGGGTCAAATAAGTGTAACGTTGACACGTATGCAAGCATGCCCATGCGTATCCATATCTATGTTTTAGAGGTACGTTATATACCCAAGCTATTTGAGGGATTTCGGAGACCCCCTTATCTCACAACGTCAATGAAGTTGTCATCTCTTCGTCTGGCGGAAGGCTGGCGGAAGGATGCGGAAGTGAAAAATCCGTTGTTAATCGAAGACGCTTACGGCGAGTCACCGTCGCCCCTTGCCTTTTTGGAAGTGCCTATGTGGCCGAACGTTGAGGGCAGAGCCCTGCCAAGCTATCGGATCATATGTTCCCCGAATCGGTTTGGAAAGTTTTCGGGGAACACGTGGAGGAGGTTGGGGAAGAAGAGGAGAGTGAGGAAAAAGGGGAAGGTAGGAAGAGTCCTCTCGGGAGCCTCTTGAGGCACTTTGGGGCTCAATTGGGCCATCTTGGCGGTCTTGGAGGCATTTTTGTTTGGACCGTTACGGAGGACAAAGTGGAATGATCTTGGGCTCTCTTGGTGCCATCTTTGCCATCTTGGAGGCCATCTTGGGCCATATTGGCCGTGGTGGAGGCGTCTTGGGACAGTCTTGGAGGCCATCTTGGCCGTCTGGAGGCCATCTGACAATTTCGGGCCTTCCTGGAGGACGTCTTGGAGGGCTCTCGGGCCGTCTTGGAGGCCTCTTGCAGGCCTTTTGGGCAGTCTAAGGCCATCTTGAGGCCATCTGGGGCCGTCTTGGGAGCATCTTGGGGCCATCTTCGCTGTCTTGGAGACCGTCTTGGAGGCATCTTGGAGGCCACTTTGGACGTCTTCGAGGCCATCTTCGGCGTCTTCGGGGCCATCTTGGGCCGTCTTGGGCTCTTCTTGGGGCCCTCTTGGACGCCTCTTGGGCTGTCATGGGGCCATCTTGGAGGCCTCTTGGGCGCTCTTGGGACGATGTTGGGGGCCTCTTGGGCCGTCGTGGGCCGTCGGAGAGCTGATAAGAAGAAAGTGCAACATTCCTCCAAAAACAATAGAAAATTCAATGATTGTTGTCCTGTCGGGCCTTCCTGGAGGACGTCTTGGAGGCCTCTTGGCCAGTCTTACGCCATCTTGGAGCCATCTTGGCCCGTCTTGGAGGCTTCTTGGACGAGCTTGAAGGCATCTTGGACTCTCTCGGGCCGTCTTGGAAGCCATCTTGGACCATCTTTGGCGACTTGGAGGCCATCCTGGAGGCAATCTTGGGCCAACGTGACCATCTTAGAGGCCATCTTGAGCCGTCTTGGAGAATTTTTTGCGGTCGTTGAGGTGATTGCGGGGCCTTTCCGAGACCCGGGCGGGATCGGCCGAAGCCCCAGGGGGAGTTCTTTTTGAAAAGAACCAAAACCAAAATCCTCCGCCCCCTGTTGATTCATCACATGGGTGCCCAGCGTGCTGAACCTTGTCGGTCTTGGTTTTGGCTTCTGTTCCAAAAGAACAGGGGCTTCGGCCGATCCCGCCAGGGTCCCGGAAAGGCCTCGAAACTACCTCAACGACCGGAAAAAATTCTCCAAGACGGCTCAAGATGGCTTCTGAGATGGTCACGTTGGCCCAAGATGGCCGCCAAGATGGCCCAAGATGGCCTCCAAGTCGCCAAAGCTTGTCCAAGATGGCTTCCAAGACGGCCCGAGAGAGTCCAAGATGCCTTCAAGTTCGTCCAAGAAGCCTCCAAGACGGCCCAAGATGGCTCCAAGATAGCCTCAGACTGGCCAAGAGGCCCCCAAGAGGCCTCCAAGACGTCCTCCAGGAAGGCCCGAAAGGGCAAAAATCTGTGATCTTCCTCATGTTTTCGAAGGATGTTTGGCCCAAGAGGCCCCCAACATCGTCCTAAGAGCGCCCAAGAGGACTCCAAGATGGCCCCATGACAGCCCAAGAGGCCCCCAAGAGGGCCCCAAGAAGAGCCCAAGACGGCCCAAGATGGCCCCGAAGACGCCGAGGACGGCTTCCAAGACGGAGATGGCCTCCAAGATGCCTCCAAGACGGCCAAGAAGGCCTCCAAGACAGCGAAGATGGTCCCAAGATGCACCCAAGACGGCCCCAGATGGCCTCCAAGACGGCCCAAGAGCCCTCCAAGACGTCCTCCAAGAAGGCCCGAAAGGGTCAAAATGGCCTCCAGACGGCCAAGATAACCTTCAAGATGCCCACGTGTTCCCCGAAGGCTTTCCAAACCGTTTCGGGGAACACATGGTCCGTTAGCTTGGCTGGGCTCTGGCCTTAACGTTCGGCCACATAGGCGCTTCCGAAAGGGCAGGGGGCGGCGGTGACTCGCCGTAGGCGTCTTCGATCGAAACGATCTAGCACGCCGGGCACCCCTGTGGCAAGCCAACAGGGGGCGGCGGATAGCCTTCGGCCCATCCCGCCACCGTGCTTGGGTTGTGGGTATGAGGCCTTTTGGACGTTCGTTGGGATCTCGTTGAAGCCTTTCGGAGACCTCCTGGAGGCAGTTCTGAGGCCTCTGGGGGGTTGTTTTAGGGAATCTTGGAACCTCTTTTGGGCCTCTTGGGCCTTCGTGGGGGCCTCTTGGGGGCTTCTGGGCGCCTCTTGGGGCGGAGAGTTCGGATTTTCGGTTCGTGAAGAAGTCCCCCCCCTCGGACGCATGTAGTGTAGAGAATGGGATGGTAGCATCAGCAGTGCAGTGCAGAGCATCATGTAGCATTGTTGTTCAGTTGTCGTTCCATAGCCCCTTTCGGCAAAAGGTTTTCTCATGGTAGCGCGTGGGACGACCAGGGGCGAACGACGCACGGCCGGCGCCATCCGGCGCCGGATCGACAGGGGTGCTCGCCGGCGGCTCGGCGACAGCACCCAGCCTGCGGGGCCGGCAGCCCCAGCACCGGCGGCAGCGGGCAGCACCGCGCCGCCCTGGCGGGCTGCTCCGGCGGCCCCAGCACCGGCGGCAGCGGGCAGCACCGCGCCGCCCTGGCGGGCTGCTCCGGCAGCCAGCAGCCGGGCGCCCGGGAGCGCCAACAGAGGCCCGGCACCGCGGCCGGGAGGAGGCAGCAGGCCGCGCCGCCGTTGCCGGAGGAGCCGAGGAGGGCCGTTCTTCAGCCAGTTCGGTGCTGCAAGGAGAACCCAGACCCTCGGGCGCGTGCACGGGACAAGCGTCCACGAAGCCCAGGAGGGGACACTGAGGAGAGAGGAAGGAAGAGGAAGGACAAGCGTCCTGAGGAGGAGGAGTCGGAGGACGGCAGGAAGGCAAGGTCGTCGTCGACTTCTCCGCCCTGCGACCTGAAGGGCCGCGGCCGCCGCGCTGCTTCGAAGTGCGTCTCGCGCCCAGGCTCCACTGCGGTCGGGTTCGAAAGGGGCTCGGGCCAGAAGGAGAGCAAGAGCACGGTAAAAGAAGAGGCTACGGGAGCGGCGTCGAAACGGGTAGCCCCGCTTTCGCCGGAAAGGGAGGATGGCGGAGGAACAACTCCGCTTGTTGACCCAGCAGATGGAGCAACTGACCCAGCAGTTGGCATCAATTGGGGCGGAGAACCGTCAGCTGACAGCGACGGCGGCCTCGCAGCAGCAACAGATCGTCCAACTGCAACAGGCGGGAGGCGCCGCGCAAAGAGGCGCAGCGGCAGCAGCCCCCGTCGTTTCCAATGAGTCCATCGGTCTTCTGATCGAGGCGCTCGCGGAGCAGACCAGAGCACTGTCGAGGAGAGATCGACCAGTTCTGGTCGACGTGAAAGGAATCGGCAGACCGTACACTGTCACCAACGACGAGAGCAAGTTCCCAGAGCGGTGTAAGAAAGTAGAGGACTACTTGCTCGGAGTCGAGCCACAGCTAGCAGCTGCGCTCGAGTGGGCGCTCGAGCAGGAGGACGAGTTCACGACAGCTGAAACAGTCCTTGCCCTGGGCCCCGGCACGGAGCATACCAAAGACGATACTGCTGCACTCAACTTGCAGATCAAGTCGGTACTTTCGAACTTGACAGAAGGAGAGTCGTGGACTATCGTCCAGAACTGTGACCGCAACGGTCTGGAGGCATGGCGCCGGCTGCACAGCAGGTTCGACGCGTTGGCAGGCGGAAGGCGCCGGGCGCTGCTGCGCGCCATCTTGCCCCCTCACCGGGTGAAGCTGGAGGAGGTAGGAACAGCTCTCCAGTTGTGGGAGGAAATGGTCACGCGGTACAACAAGAAGCAACAGAGGCTCGGAGAGGCCCCGATTGCAGACGAGTGCCCGTGCAGCGCACTGGAGGCACTGGTCCCAGAGGACGTTGAGAACCACCTGCAGATGAACGCGAACCGCCTGAAAAAGCACAGCGACATGCGGGCTGAAGTGGTAATTTTCTACGAAGCTCGCACAGGGAAGAAAGTTCGCATAACTCTGCAGGAGCGCATGAAGAGCGCTAGTTCTGGCGGTCTTGCGCCCATGGACGTCGACAGCCTACAGACAGGAAGAGGCGGCAGAGACCCGAAGGGACGACCCAGAGGAAAAGGAGACAAAGGAGGGAAAGGAGACAAAGGAGGAAAAGGAAACGGCCAAGGAGGAGGAAAAGGAAAGGAAGACGGGGGAAGACACGCACCCCCGCCGAAGCCCATCGAGAGGCACTGCGACAACTGCGGCAAGTGGGGACACAAGAAGGCAGACTGCTGGGGCAAGCCCCGGGACGCGAGGAAACCCAAGGGAGACCCCAAAGGAGGCGGCCGCGGACGCGGCCCCAAGGGGGCCCGAGGCAGAGGCGCGGCCTCCCTCGAGGAAGCAGGAGACCACGGACACGAACCCGAGACGGAGCAGGCCTCCCTCGAGCTAGGTGCGTTCGACGTGCGGGCAGCCCCTCTGTCGGTCGCCCCTGTGGCTGGCGTAGACGACGAGGGGTGCACCAAGTTCAACCTCGACACCGGCGCAGCAGTCATTGCGTTCCCCAGGAGCCAGTTTGGCGGCGGCCACCCAGGCAAGAACCACAGAGGTTACGTCACCGCGAGCGGGGAGCGAATCCCTGATTGCGGAGGGAGCCGGCTCGTGTGCACGGACGAACACGGGCAGCGTCGCGGTTTCACCGGCCGAAAGACAGACGTGTACAAGGTGCTGGCCTCTGCAAGCCAAGTCTTCAGAGGTGGAAAGCAGGTGGCGCGGCTGACCGAGGATGGTGAGCACATCATTCCGCGCGACGGTCCTGTCGCGAAAGCTATCGCCAATGTGATCCAAAGGCACGAGCAGCTTGAGTCTGGGAAGACCATGCTGCCAGTTTACCAGGAGAAGGGAGTGCACAACTTCTACCTGAAGGTAGACAGCCAGGAGGAGATCGGAGCAGTCTCCGAGACGAAGGAAGGCTCGCCGCTTTTCGGGCGGCAGGGCAAGCACGTGCAAGCCCGCTCGAAGCTCCGGCTGCGGGCAGCCCCGCGCCGGAGGAAGCGCAGGCCGCGGGCGGCCCCGCGCCTGCGGCAGCAGGAGCAGACGCAGCAGCGGCAGGAGCAGAGGAAGAGCAGGAGGTAGGAGAAGAACGGCCTAGGGTGCGTCAGCGGGCAGCCCCGCGGCCACCTACCAAGCTTGCGCTTGCAGACCACTACGCTGCAGGACATGCTGTCTATCGTTCGTGGTGTCGCCACTGCGTCAATAGCAGAGGCATCGGCGAACAGCACCGGCCACAGGCAGCGCAGCAGGCAGGGGAAGAGCATGCCGACCCAGTCGTAGTTTCTTCATGGGGGACACTGAGAAGAGGAGGCGATGCCAATACTGGTCACCAAGGACCGAGCAACCAAGGGATACGCAGCGACAGCTATTCCAAGGAAAGGGGTCCATCTCTTCAACATCAAGTTGACTTGCAGGAGTTGTGAAGGAGCTAGGATGGAAGAGGATGGTGAGCAACTCTGATAGTGAACACAGTCTGGTTGCATTGAAGCAAGCTGTGTCTGACTCCATGCCAGGCGTGGAAATGGTCATGCAAGAGTCGCCTGTCGGCGATCACCAGGCGAATGGTGAGGCAGAAAACGCTGTGAAGGAGGTGAAAAGGATGGCGCGGGTGCTCAAGGCCACCCTGGAAGAACGGATCGGGAAGAACCTTCCCGTCGACCATCCTCTCTGGACGTGGCTTCCGCGCCACGCAGCAGCCTGCTTGAGCAGGTACAGAATCGGGCTGGATGGCAGGACAGCAGAGCAGCGCAGGACAGGCAGAGCTTGGGCCAAGGCAACGGTCGAGCTTGGAGAAAGGATCCATGCTCGACCAGCAGTGGCGCAAGAACCCAGGAGCGGGCTCGCGCCGAAAATGGTCGAAGGCCGGTACGTGGGTCACCCATCCCGTACCGGAAGCCTTCTCGCGATGACCGAGACGGGCGCGATACGCGCCAAGGCATTCAACAGGATGCAGGAGGACGAAAGGTGGAGCAGCGAGGGGCTGGACGACCTCAAGGGGGCACCGCCGGCTGCGGGTAGCACCGCGCCGGCGCCGATTGCGGGCAGCTCCGTGCCAGCGAGGGCTCCGCCACTTGCGGCGGGAGCAGAGGCAGCCGCGGAAGCTGCGAGACCGCCGCCTGCGCCACACCCGGCGGCAGCAGGAGGAGGAGGAGGAGTTCCAGGACCCAGGAAACTCTACATCCTCAAGAGGGACATCGAAGCCTACGGGCCGACCCCCAATTGTCTGGCGTGCGCGAACACGTTCGGGATGCCGGCAGGAGTGGCACATTCTTCCGAGTGCACGCAAAGAACGACGGCGCACATTGAAGCGGATGTGCAGCAACGGAGGCGGGTAGAAGCGCAGCAGGCACGCAGGGGAGCTCAGGTGCCCGCGCCGCCCGCGGGCGGCTCCGCGGCGGACGCGTCGGGGGCGCCTGGGCAAGCGGGAGTCCTGAGGGGACCCCCAGGGCTGGCAGAAGAGCGGCCAGCAGCCAAAAGGAGGGTGGACCAGATGCCCACGGCACTGGATCGCGCGGCGCGGAAAAGACCGCCCGAAGATCCACCCGACGATCCAAGGCTAGAGACGGCCGACGACGACGCGATCGCGCCGCCAGCGGTGCAGGCTCAGGCAGCAGCATCAGCAGGAGCGAGCGCAAGCTCGTCGGCAGTGCCGGCTGCCGGCAGCCCCGCGCCGGCGCCGGCTGCGGGAAGTTCCGCGACGGAGGGGCCAGATGTGGTCACGGGAAACTTCTCAGCAACAAAAGAGGAGCTCAGACGCATGTACGAGAGTAGGATCGTTGAGGCCTATCGTGCAAACTGCGTCGACTTGTCGTCGTCTGAGCTGGATGACGTCACCCAGATGGCTCTAGAGCTAGGAGCCGTTGAGGTGCCAGACGCGTGCCCTGGAGAGCACGCGGGTCGTAGCACACCTGCCGGCAACGTGGGATTGACGCCCGGCGTGCGCATGAACATGGAGTGCCCACGGCCTGACGGTACGACATGGGATTTCGCTCGAGAGGAGCATATCTCGGAGTGGTTCGAGACCCTGGAGCGCGAGGATCCCTACATCGTCGTGGGGTCTGCTCCTCTTATAGCATTCCCTCAATTACGACGTGCTCAAAAGAAGAGGAACGAGGAGGAGAGTCGCAGGGAGGAGGAAGAGGAGGAGGCGAGGAGGAATTTGTGGGTTGCATGTGAAAGTTACAGGAGGCACGCAAGGAGGGGACGATATTTCTTGCATGAACACCCACATGGCGCCAGCAGCTGGGAGGAGAAGGAGGTAGAGGAGGTCATGAGGGGAGAAGGGGTGGTGCGAGTGAATGGCCCCATGTGCAGGTGGGGCGAGGAAGGAGACGGCCGCACGCCCTTCGTACGGACCCAGACGAGCTTCATGACCAACCTTCCAGAGCTAGCCGCAGAACTGCGCAAGCAGAGTGTTGGCGGGAAAGGCGGCGGGCAGCCCCGCGCCCAGGAGACACGGGTTAAGGTGATACTGGAAGGCGGCCTCGTACGGAGGCCACACATGCTCACCCCGGTGCTGACGCAATGCGTTCTTCGAGCCATTCGTGAAAGCATGGGTGCTGACGGCGAGATGTCCGATCTGGCCGCAGCAACAGCAGGCCCTGTGCCGGTCGGCCCAGGACCCTTCGAAGCAGGCAGGGACAACCTGAGCGATGACGAGCGCTATTGGGACGACGTGAACGGAGGGTGGCTGGACCCACAGATGGTTCGAGAAGCACGGCGGCTAGAAGTAGAGTGGCTGCACAAGCAAGACGTCTACGAGAAGAGGACAATAGAGGAGTGCAGGAGCGTCACAGGACAACCGCCCATCAAGTTGATGTGGATAGACGCCAACAAGGGCGACCACGAGAAACCGATCTACAGGTCGCGGATTGTCGTGCGAGAGAAGCGCGGCAAGGGCGAGGAAGGACGAAAACTACCAGCAGCACTTCTCTCTTCAGCAATGCCACCGTTAGAAGCAGTCAAAATTCTCGGCTGCATGATGGTCCAAAGGCGGAGGTCCAGTAGGAACCGGCCTCTGGCCATGAGATTATTTGACATATCCCGGGCCCATTTCTATGGGAAGGCCGCGAGGGCGGTGTATATAGAGTTGCCTGACACCGAAGCAGATGGCGTACATTGTGGTCTTCTTAAGAAAAGCATGTACGGCACACAGGACGCATCTGCAATATGGCAACGAGATTACACCGCAGTCATGGAAGCAGACGGGCACAAGCCAGGCAAAGCCAACCCAGCATTGTTTTACAACATGAACAACGACTCGCGCTCTCTTGTCCATGGAGACGACTTCTGCGCCCTAGGAGACGAGAGGGCACTGGACGAGCTAGAAAAGACGCTTCGGTCCAAATACGATCTGAAAGTGACGGGAAGCCTCCAGCTTGGGGCCGGGCGTGACCAAGAAGTGGTTTCCTTGAATCGCATTTTGCGCGTTGCTGGGTCTCCAGGGGGCGAACGCTTCGAGGTTGAAGCAGATCCCCGCCACGCAGAAATGATCGTGGCAGATATGGGACTGGCAGGAGAGAGGACGAAAGCTCTGGACACGCCTGGGCTGAAGAAAGAGGAGGCAGAGCACGAGGAGAGAGAAACATCGCCTCTACTCACAGGAGATGCCGTTAAGCAGTACAGAAGTGTGACGATGAGAGCAGCTTATCTTTCGCCAGGTCGTGCAGACATAGGAGACGCAGTAGAAAACTTGGCAAAGCATATGCAATCACCGAGGCAGGTCGATGCTGCACGCTTGAAGAGGTTGGCCAGATACCTCAAGGGACGACCGCGTGTCGTGCAGAAGTTCACCAGGGACAGGAGCACTGCCAACGACGACGTTGTCAAGGTGTTGATCATGGTGGACAGCGACAACGTTGGAGACAAGGTGTCTCGGAGGTCAACCGTTGGCCAAGTTGCCTTCGTAGACAAGCACATGGTAAAGCACATGTGCAACATCTTGCAGGTGATCGGTCTCTCGTCTGGCGAGAACGAGTACTATGCCATAAGCGCAGGTGTTTGTACCGGACTTGGCATCAAAGGTATCCTAGAAGACTGGAATGTGGCGTGCGAGCTGAAGGTGGTATCCGATTCATCAGCAGCACGAGGCTTTTCTTCGAGGGGAGGAGTAGGAAAGCAGAAACACATCCAGACGCAATATCTTTGGGTGCAAGAACGACTCGCTATGAGACATCTCGATCTTGGTAAGATCGGCACGAAGGAGAACAGGGCAGACTTGCTCACCAAGCCGCTTACGAAGAGGGAGATGGAGGAACACATGAAACGGATATGCCAGGAGTTCCGGGAAGGGCGAGCGCAGTCTGGCCTGCGCCTACGCTGACCAGACCGCAGAGGAGACAGGAGGCGAGACGCCGAGCGCCGAGCCCGAGCTCCAGACAGCCCCTGGTTGCGGCAAGATCCGCGCCGGGTGCAAGACTGAACCTGGAAGCGGGGAGCTCCGCACCAGGCCAACTGAGCCCAACGACGCGCCTAGCTGCGGGTAGCCCCGTGCCAGGCGCAACGCTACTGAGCACTGAACGCCTTGCCACTGCGTGGTTGTGGATCGCCACAGCTCCGCTACCTGTTCTGGATGGCTAGGGCCGTCCACCGGACTGACAGAGCGCCGCGAGACGGGGCACAGCCCGAATCGCAGCGAGGAGGGGTGAAGAAGTCCCCCCCCCTCGGACGCATGTAGTGTAGAGAATGGGATGGTAACATCAGCAGCGCAGCGCAGAGCATCATGTAGCATTGTTGTTCACTTGTCATTCCATAGCCCCTTTCGGCAAAAGGTTTTCTCAGTTCGTGTTCCCTCCCTTGGGCCCCTGTTGGGGCCGTCTTGGCCGCCTCTTGGGCCGTCCTGGGGCCCTCTGGGGCCGTTCTGGGGCTTAGTTGTGGCCCCATGGGGCCGTCTTGGGGCAGTTTTGGCGGCCTCATAGGCCGTCGTGGAGCATGGGAAGATCGAAAAGTCGAGGACTCCCAAAACATTCACAGCTAATGGGGGATTCATGACCTTGGCCTCTCGGCGCCCTCTTTGGGAAAGATTTTGGAAGCCCCTTAGTGCGTCTTGGAGGTTTCTCGGGCCATCTTGGGACCATGTTGGGCGTCCTGGTGCGATCTTTGGGCGGTTCGGGGCCCTCTTGGGCCGCTTTGGGGCATATCCAGGCTCTCTTGGCCCGTCTTGGGGCCCTCTTGGGCCCGAAGAAGGTTTTGCGGGAGAACGCGGGAAGCCTCCGGCACGACGTGGGAAGCCCTGCCAAGTTTGATAATTTTGGGTCGGGGGGCGTTCAAGACTCCTCGTGGGGCAGGACTGAGGCGCAAAGGATTCGGCAAATGACTTCAGGACACACCCACTCCGTGCCCAGCGGCACGGCGGCGGACTTGGGGGTCGCGGGGGGAGGGGGGCGGAGGGGGGGAGGGAACAGGAGGGAAGAGAACGGGTGCGAAGGGGCCGTGGCGAGGAAATCCCCCGAGGAAGGGGCGCTGAAGCACCGCCAGAAGGAAGCCCCCCGAAGCGGAGGAGGAGGAGGAGGACGAGGAGGACGAGGAGGAGGAGGAGGAGGAGGAAGGGAGGAGAAAGGAGGAGGAGGAGGAGGAAGGAGGAAGGAGGAGGAGGAGGAGGAGAGAACGGGGGATTGTGGAGCCCCTCGGGGTTCCAGGGCGCGCGCGCGCGCGAGGCTTTCACACTGAGTTCGCGCGTTCGTCTTTCAGTGGTGTGCGTACTCTGTGACGTCCTCCTCTCCTTCCGCCTCCCCCTCCTTCTCCTCTCCTCCTCCTCCTCCTCCTCCTCCTCCTCCTCCTCCTCCTCCTCCTCCTCCTCCTCCTCCTCCTCTTCGTTTGTTTCTATCCCCCCTCCCCCCCCCCAAAAAAAAGAAACAACAAAAAACAGGTTGGAAATGTTAACATGATTTGTTGTTTCCTTTTTGGGGGGGTCGGCGGCGAAAAACATGAATGCGACGTGACCTCATCTGCCCTCCCCCCTAGAAGGATTCCTATTGAACGCCCCCACAAGAAGGATTCATAGTGAAATCCCCGACAGATGGATTCCTATCGAAACCCTCCACTGAATGATTCCTATTGTAATTCTCCACATGTGGACCTCTATTGAAATCACCCGCAGAAGGATTTATATTGTTCATATTGACACCCTCCGCAGAAGGATTCCATGCGAAACCCTCCACATAAGGATTCCTGTTGAAATCTACCACAAAGGATTTCCCCCATTGGCAGTGCACTGGCATTGGGTTGGGATCGCTTTGGCATTGGTGTGGCACTGCGTTGGCATTGCGCTGGCATGGCGCTGGCGAGTTCCAACACCTCCATGCGCAGAATGATGCCTGTTGAACGCCCCACAAGAAGGACTCCATTTGAAGCATTCCACAAGAAGGGTTCACATTGAACACCCTCACGGAAGGATTCCATTCGAAGCCCTCCATGGAAGGATTTTTGATTGAACCCGACAACAAACGATTTCCCCCATTGGCCTTGCATTGGGATTGATTTGGGATCGTTTTGGCATTGGTTTGGCATTGCGTTGGCATTGCGCTGGCGAGTTTTAATGGCTCCCCCCACACAGAAGGATTCCTATGAAAACCTTGCACAAGAAGGGATCCTTTTGAAAGCCCCCACGTGAAGGATTCAAAGTGAAACCCCCCACTGAAAGCTTCCAACCAAAACTCTCCACGGGAGGATTCCTATCGAAATCTTCCAAAGAAGGATTCGTAACCAGATCGTCCACATAAGGATTCCTCGTGAAATCTGTTGGAAGACAGGAATCCCGCCATCGGCATTGCATTGGCATTGGTTTGGCAACGGTTTGGCATCGCATTGGCATTGCGTTGGCTTTGCGATGGCAGGGCGTCAGCAGTGCGTTGGCATTGCGTTGACATTGCGCTGGCGAGTCCTACTCAAACACTTCACAGAAGGATTCCGATTGAACACCCCCACAAAAAGGATGCCTACTGAATCCCCCCACAAGAAGGATTCAAATTGAATTCCTCAACAGAAGGGTTCCATGCGAAGCCCTCCATATAAGGTTTCCGATTGAAATCCCCCGGAAAGGGTTCCTAAAATTGCTATTGAAATCTACCACGAACAATTCCCCCCATCGGCATTGCATTGGCATTGGTTTGGCATTGCGTTGGCATTGCTTCGGCATTGCGCTGGCGAGTTCGAAGGGCTCCCACCACAGAAGGATTCATTACCTTCCACAAGAAGGGGTCCTTTTGAAAGCCCCCCACATAAAAGATTCATATTGAAACCCCCCACGGAAGGATTCCAACCGAAACCCTCCACAGGTAGGATTTTTGTTGGAATCTACCACGAAGGAAACCGCCCATTGGCATTGCATTGGCATTGAATTGGGATCGCCCTGGCATTGACTTGTCATTGCGATGGCAAAGCTTTGGCGTTGCGTTCGCATTGCGCTGTCGAGTCCTAATGACTCCCTCCGCGGACGGACTCCCCCTCCACAAGAACGATTCCGATTGAACCCTCCCACATGAAGGATTCCTAGCGAAACCCTCCACATGAGGATCCCTATCGAAACCATATACATTCCGAAGAAGGATTCGTAATGACATCATCCACAAAGTATTCTTGTTGAAATCCACCGAACGAAAGGATTTCCCCATTGGCATTGCATTGGCATTGGTGCTGGTTGGGAATGGATTTGTATCGCATCGGCATGCATTGGCCTGGTGCAGGAGATAGACAAAGAGAGAAAGAGAGAGAGAGAGAGACAAAGAGAGAGAGAGAGAGAGAAAGAGAACAGTAGAGAACGGCATAACGAGAAAAGATTAGTATGAGGAGATCACGGCGAAAATAAAAATGCAAAAAAACAATCAAAGTGTAAGGGCGAAAGAGCGCTTCACTCGATAAAAACCATATGAAAACGACGAGGGGCTCCACAATCCCTCGGCCTCGAGGAGAAGGAGGAGGAGGAGGAAGAGGAGAAAGAGGAGGAGGAGGAGGAGGAGGAGGAGGAGAAGGGGGGGCACCGCTAGTGGGCGCAGGAAATCTGAGTTCAGGTGGGAGGGAGGAGGAAGAGCAGAGGGAGGGAGCTGGAGAAGGAGGCGGACGAGGAGGAGGAGGAAAATGAGGAAGAAGAGGAGAAGGAGGACGAGGAGAAAGAGGAGAAGGAGGGGGAGGAGAAGGAGGAGAAGGGAGAGTGGGGGGGCTGAAAGGAGGAGAGGAAGGCAGGGGCGCCGAAATTCGCCTGATGAACTGAAACCCGCTGTTTGTGATGTAGAATCGATAACGACATCTGGAAACTACAACGGCGACGGCAGGTGCATGCAAGAAATAAACCAGGTATGCACATTCGGTATGTCATACATACATGTGTTGCGGAATCGCCCAGTTTTCTTATGGTTGCCTCTTTGTTGCCTCAACTTCCCGTCCTCTCTTCCAGCGTCGCCCGTTCTTCCAAAGCGTCGGCACATTCAAATTACCGGAGCATCCTGGTCCATATTCAGCAACAGTCCGATGCGCGCCGTTTGCACAATACGCCCGCATGAACATGTATAGTCCGAATACAAATACATTTATGCATATACACATACATACATACAGACAGACATGCATGCATGCATGCATGCATGCATACATATATACATACATACATGTGTGTATGTACACAGCACCGGATTTATACCACAATGGAAATCACGTTTATGGCCACCGGTTTTTTTGTTTGGAGTGGCGATACCAGGTGCCAGTTCGGATGTCGCCGGCGTGCGGTAATAATGTCGGTCGCGAATCGGTTGCCCACGATCGATGAACGACGACGCCAATATACTAATCGAAACAATGCTGGGGCTTGTCAGTCCGCACTGGGGGCGCGCAGGGTTCGGCGAAAGGGGCGCGGAAGCAACGGCGGAGGACGGCGGAAAACAACACGGCCACCCGTTCGCGCCCGGCTCGATTTCGCAAGATTGAGGAAGAGGAGGAGGAGGAAGAGGAGACGGACGAGTAAAGGGGGGGGAAGGAGGAGAAGTAGGAGGAGGAGGAGGAGGAAGAGGAGGAGGAGGAGGAGGAAGAGGAGAAGGAGGAGGAGGAGGAGAGGGCCACCGCTCGTGAGCGCCGCCTGTTGCCGCCGTCTCCTCCATTTTCCTATGGATTTCACCCGGTTGCCATGTGGATTTCCGTGCGTTTCGCACGAGTCGCTCTGGATTGCCGACAGGCCCCTCAGATGTTGCACGGACAATCTGCAGTCGAATACGTAATATTTTAAGTAGTTTCCGAATTCCTTGGGTTTTCCATCGCGTTTTTATTATACGTTTCGCTTTTCCGCGGAAGTTTAATGGGTTGCGCCCCACCACCTCTCACGGCGGCAGCGCGGAAGCGCCCGCAGAGACCCCGGCGAAAACAATGATAAGGTTTCATCACCGTTTGTGTTTTTTTTTCTGGCGTTTCAATTGGTCTGTGCACGCTTCGCATC